CCTGCAACATGTACCAAATAAGTTGGGACAGGAGTAATTTAAGACTGGAAACATTGTGAAATTTTCAAAAAACATGTTAAACAGTGATGCAATTATGCAGGTGTAAAAGGAGCATCCAAGAAAGGCCTAGTCCTTTTTGAATAAACATGGGGCAAGCTCACCACTTTGTGAAAAATGCATCAGAAAAAAAGCTAACAGTATCTGGGACCCTGATGCTCATTTCAGCATCACAACACCAAGCCACATTCTGCATGTGCTACAGCAGCATGGCTGCGTAATCAGTGTGCGCGTGCTAGACTGGCCTGCCTGGGGTCCAGAATTGTCTCTCATTGAAAAAGCTGTCTTTAAGCCCAAAAATATGACAACAAAAGCCCTTCACGGTTGCACAGCTGAGGATTTGTATAACAGAAGAATGGCAAAAAAATCCATTTTCAAAGCTGGATCAATTGGTGTTTTCAGTCCTCAAACATGTTTTTAAAAAGGAAAGGTAATGTAGCACAATGGTAAACATGATCCTGTCCCAACTTTTTTGGAATGTTTTGCAGGCATCATATTTAGAATAAAAAAATATTCACACAAAACAATAAAGTTCATAAGGTAAAAAATATTGTGTTTTTGTACCATTTTCAATTTAATGCAGGTCAAATAGAATTTACTAATCACTGCTTCCTATTTGTATTAGCATTTTGTTTATTGTTAATTTTTTTGGAATTGGAATTGTACATAGATGATAAAATAAAAAAAGTATTTACACTTTAGATATTTACAAGGATTATGTTATGATCTGTTATGATGATATTAAAAGCCAAGGCATTAATTGAGATAATAATAAGATAAATATATATACGAAATCATAATTTCTAGGGTACTTTCTACTGGGAGGTGGCTGTCCTAAACCCCAACTTTTCAAAATAATACTTGTTTTTTTTGTTTGTTTTTGTTTTGTTTTGTTTGTTTTAAAGTAAAGTGGAAAGATCCCAGATCCCTGTCCCTCATTGCCACTTGGTGAGCAGTAAATGTGTTCCATCGTCTGAAAATTTGTGTGAAACATTAAGAATTGTCATTACTGAAACATACATTTCTGCAATCAAGAAAACTGTTAGTGTTTTAATGAAAAATTTGATTTTATGTGTGTAAATTCGTTCAAAGCTGTGTTTGCTAGTTATGTTCTGGCTAGTGTTTTTCTCAAAATGAGCTTAAAATTAGAATTGTCACTACTGAAACATTTGGTAAATCTTCGGTAATGATTGTTTTGGTAGTGACAAAATGCAATGTGCTGTAATTTGTTTTAATAAAATAAACATAATTAAAGTACAGAATCAGAGGGATTTTAGTCTAAAGTCCAAGTCAGTTAAGAGCACAAATGGATTTTCAATTCTGACTTTGAATCAGTTCTGTACAATGATACATATAACCACTAATAACTTGCATCTCCCACAAGAATCACACTGTGTTGTTAATACAAGCTAAAATAGAGGGCATCTGCATAAGTGAAAACACATCACACTCACACTGAACCAAAAAAAGGCTCTGTGAGTGTGCAGCAGTGCTTTGTGTAGCAGGTAGTCTAACAGCTAATTTGTTTGATTCGTATCAACTTGAAGTGATTATTATCTGTCCACACTACAAAGCGACCACACATGTATTTCCTGTTAATAATACAGTTTGTTTTTAGAGGCAAAACACCTTACGGACCTGGCTCGTAACTCACTCACTCACATTTAACAAGGTTGTCCACAAAGGGGTGCTAATGTCACTCTGGTAACGAGAGTAAAAACAAACTTGTGTCTATTAAGCGCTGTTAACACATGAGAAGTGCATGCTTTTTAGGATTTTTGGGCTATTACATGTTGGTGCTTCGCATCAGTGACACTTCATGTCCTTGTTGTGTTTTAACGTTGACACATGAAGCAACACATTTTATGAGAATATGGTAAATTACCTCTTTACTTAGTTTTATGTATGAAATCTGCAACTTTTATATGGTTCAAGCATTGTATGCAGGCCAAACCCTCTTAATATTGGTCCCGCCCACTTTTCAGATCAAATTTGTGCCCTGCATCCATATAACATATAAAAATAACATGAGATAAACACTCATTTGGATGACCGCTGTGAGCAAGTGGCTGGTCTCTTACAGCAAGAATATGCCACTAATTTAAGAAGGAAGTAAGAATGCTATGAAATTCTTAAAGTCCAGCACTCATAACTAACTACTACTGTAATAATTGGACGTAAAGGACTAAAGACTAGTAAACAGTGAGGATTTCACTTAAAGAAGACATAGAGAGGATATTGTAGAGATGAAAATTAAGACCAAAGGTGACCGAAAATACTGTAGTTGCACTTTAAGAAACAATTTAAAGCCAATGTGTTGTCAGAACACAGTAACATAAAGCCTCTCCAGACTGTAAGTTCTACTAAAACTGAATGTTTACTGTGTTCATTACGTCCTTATCTCCTTCAAAGGATTTCCTGCAGCTCAACATGTACCAGCAGAGAATGACTTGAAAGATAGCACATAATATAAATTTAAAATAAAAATATATATTATCACTATCGCAACAAAATCCTCTTCTCCAGAATTGTAACTTTATAGGAGAAGGCTGAAACATTCTTAACTTTCAACGCACGTTAATGTAACAGTATTTTTCTGTAAGTCATTTGGACAATTTCTATTGGTCCATTTATCTTGAAATTTGAATATAATGTAAAGACCATCTGGCATTTTCAAATTATGCAAAAATACATGAAAAACAGCCAAAATGGAGATATGAGGTTTTGTTTATTATTTATTTGTTTTAAATGATTACCAGGCCTGGATAGCTTGGTACCCCAATCAGGATTTCCCAATCAGGATTTGCAACCAGCTGAAATCACCTAGTATATGTTGGTTTTGCTGGTGAACAGTCATGCTGCTATATGCTGGTTTTTCTAGCAAAGTGGTGACAGTGTGTTCAAAATAATGACACTAAAGTACTAAGCATTGTGCATAAGCTGTGCTCTTTGTATTGCAGTAGAAATGAAAGTTTAGAGAGCAGCAAGTTTTGACAATTGCCTAATGGGGCTTTAATTGCCTAGTTCTTCTCCTTTGAACTTCGTAGTGTAAAAATGACATTGATTTTTCAGGGATTAGTGCTAGAAAATAGCTCAGTATCACAATAACAACAATACCTAACATGCTAACACTGCACAATTAGCTTACTATGTTAGCATGTACTTTAACAGCAGAGATCTTGGAGGTATCTTTGGAATTTTCTAACTGCAGTGAGGCCTCTTCTGGACCTCATACTGAAACAAAATGCTGAATATAATCATAATGAACCACAAAAAAAGAACTTCTAGCTTTTTAGTGCAATGAAAAGCTTTTTCAGTTCTTAACTTGTGGTTAGCCAAAGAATTGAACAGCTTCATAACAGACATGTAGAGTAACATTTTAGTCCAACATGGCAAAGATGCAGTACATATGAGACAAGCCATCTTTTGAGGTTTTTGTGCTTATCCCTTCATAAAATGTGGGGTTTTTTGTTTGGAATGGTATCAAGAGAATCAGCGAAAAACAACCTTTATCAGTTTGTGGTGGAGATCGAGTTTACTGATCAGGGTAATCTTTTTCCTTCAATGCAAGATTTAGAGGAAAAGGCGTTGTTGCGAAACATGGACTCAGTGCTGATCTAGAATCACTTCTCTATGTCAGTAAAAGTGCACTGCAGGAGAGGATACATGTACTCTTTCCAGCAGTGGCTGGTAGTAACTACATGCATTTTCTTAGATCCATGTACTCAAGTAACATTTTGATGGATTTGTGCTTTCCTGAGTTTTATCAAATAATACAACTTTCACTTCTGTTTTACTTACTTCTTTTATTCCATTTTGTGTTTAATTTCATTCTGCTACACTGGTGACAGCACATATCATCGTTTCCACTTTTAGCCTTGTATTTTTCACCAAAACAATCCCCAAAAAAGAAGAATTGTGGCTAACAAACAGTTCCTATACTGATAGATGCTGGATGATTACTTCACTGAAAGACTTTGACTTGAGGGACCAAATGAAACCAAAAAGAGACGAACAGAACCTGAAAAACTTCAGGTTATGTGCTGATACAGGCTACTAGGCCAAGGGTGCACAACCCCTGAAGTCCAGCACAATTTGGTAGTTTCCCTACTGAAACATACCCACTAAACCTGGCAATTAACAGATGAGTGTTTGAGCAGGTAAATCACCAAATTGTGCTGGACACCAGCACTGTGAGTTGTGAACCCCTATACTAAGGTATTCCATTGCAATGCATTACTCAGTATTTAAAGGGGATCTAAAAAAATGTCCAAAATTTCTGTATAATTAAATCATTAAGACATAAACAAAGTCATTCAGAGTGGTTTGAGGCGAAATGCTCTGTTCTAAAGAAACAGTTACAGTTGTTTACAATTATGATGATTGGCACCAGTCGTCCAGAGTGTTTAATGCCTCTAAAAGCTACCTCACAGAAAATTACTGCATGAAATGGTTATGAATATGCTGCCCAATGCCCCAGAAATATCTTTACGATAGTTTTGAGGTCAGGTTTTGGCCTAAACCCCAAAGATTTTTTCTGATTTACCACTATTTTATCATCATCAACATTACATATAAAAAAGTCAGAAGATGTGTGTAGGTTCACTGGTTGTTTTGGATAGTACATAAAATGGTGCTGATATCTGTGTTGAGGACATCACCACCACTGTAAAGAATTCAGATTAGCAAAGTTTCTCTATAATGAAAATGTTCACATCAAACTGCCCAATGATGGCTTTGGTGAAAAGAAAGTATCTAATGTTCTAACTTTACCCCCAAAACTTAGACCTAAACCTCAAAAAGCTGAACATGTAATGAACACACAGAGAGAGAGAGAGAGAGAAAGAGAGAGAAAGAGAGAGAGAGAGAGAGTGAAAGAAAGAGAGTGAGAGAGTGTGACAGCAAAAGAGAGAGAGAGAGAGAGAGAGAGAGAGAGAGAGAGAGAGAGAGAGAGAAAGAGAGAGAAAGAGCCACAGAACTAAAGATATGATCAGAGAAAGTATACGTGATGTGAGAATGTGACACACCAGAAGCCCTCTAACAGAGTAAAAAATAGGGAAAGAGCGAGAGAGTGAGTGAAAGAAAGAGACTATTTTCAGTCTTGCTGTTACTGTGCGTGCACCAACAGCTCCAGGTACGACTCTCTGTTCTTCTCAATCTCCACTTTATTTCAATCCTCATTTTCAGTTCCTTTTGTAAATAAGTTAGCACAGCTTGACAGTGTATTTTTCATGCATTTAAAAAGAAAGACTTTTGTTAATTAAGCTGTAAAAACGACATCTGCTTCTGTGTTCAGCTTAATAGACATCAGGTGTGCAGCCAGTGAAGTGTCTTTTTACCTTTTTGCCGTAGTATCATTTGGTATTGAGCAGCTCCAAATCAAAATTCTGATACAGTAATAACCCCAGTATTAGTTGTATGTTTGGGCGCAACTGGTCAAATTCCATGCTTTGTTGATTTTCTCTACAGAAAACAAACTTCTGTCCATTTTAATGCACACTTATCTGCTGAATTTAACATTTTGTAAAAAATAAAATACAAAATGTGGTCTGTTAAAAAGTTTTGGCACATTTTATATGTTATGCTTTTTTCACAATATGTCATATTTAAATGTATTCCCTGCAGAGGATGTGTGAAGTCATTTTCACTTAGAAAATTAACAGACATGTCATTTGACCAGAGGTGTTCAAATTTTCCATATGACTATATGATGTTTTTAGCTGATTAAGAAATTTGATTGTAAATGCATTTCATCTCAGGTTGGGCCGGAACCAGGATCTCCATTTCAGTTAGATCTATTCTGCAAATCTGTGACCTAATTCACACATTCATTTCCCATCCCTCCATTCTCTGCAAACAGCATTTACTAAAACTATTTGACTCCAGTTACACTGTTTCATTTCATGTAGTCAGTTTTTTAAATGTTTATTTATTAATTTACTTTTAGTACTTTCAGTATTTTTCAGTTGATGGATTCAAATCAGTTTTGATATTTGTGGCCTTTTTTTAAGTTAAGCTATTTTAACATGGTTAACATTTAGAGCTCGATCCGAATATTTGATTATTCGGATATTTGTTTGTTGGGTAGGTATTCTGTTTTTAATTTTGGGATTCGGCTATTTAATTTGTTTTTTTGGGGTTCTTTTTTGGCTAAATGTCATTCAGTAAAGGCTTCAGCAAAATACTGTAATGTTTGGGGTTCTTGGGAGAAACTTGACAACATGAGGTTACAGTCCATAATGCAGCTTTATTTTTAATTTGCTGAAAACTGTGCCAAATACGGCGAGAAAAAGCAGCCTTTTCAGCACTAATGGCTAAAAACACAGCCCTCTGTTCTACTCTGGAAAATCCCACCACTCCACTCATATTCAGGCTCATCAACATAAAAGTCCTTGTACAAATGAACCTAAAAGAGCCCAACATAAACATTTCTTTTCTTAAAAAACAGAACTACTTACAATGCTGCATGTAGAGGCCACAATAGCACATTCCTATACTATATTTATACTTTATTTTTAAGTTTTAATTGCTGTTAAAACTGTTGAAATGAGAAAATATATACTATCTCAGCTCAGCACCTGACATCTCGCTCACTCACAACAGTGAACGTCAAGTTAATGCCGTGTTAGATAGCGTGTATTCCCAGTGTGGCAGGACCCTTACTATTGCCGCGAAGTATGCCCTTTGTGTCTATACTTGATGTGTTGCAAGAGTTGCAAAGGTTGCTGTTGATTACTGCTGGAGCTCCAGAGACCAAAAATGGTGTTCAGGGCAGAACTAGTTCACATCTACCTCTCTTTCCAACATAAACTGATCAGCTACTGCAGTGTTTTACAAGTGTTATCTCAACCATCGTCTTCATTAACACCCACATTTCTCACAAATAGACTTGCACATCACAACAACACGTCAGAGTCACTCGTAGCCTTGTGTGTAGTGTGTGTAGTAGAGTTAAATATAGTAGGCAGCAAAGTCTATGGGCAAACCACAGGTGCTCTGAGGTCAGTGAGTGAATCGCGTCACTGCTGACATACATGTGTGTTTGTACACACACACACACACACACACACACACACACACACACATACACACATACACACATATATATATATGTATATATATATATATATATATATATATATATATATATATATATATATATACACACACACACTCTTAAAATACATGGTTCTTCAAAGGATCTTTAGTAAAGACTCTATAGAATCATGAACACTCAAAGAACGGTTTGCATGCTTAAATCATTCTTTGCACGGTGAAATTGTTCTTCAGACTGATGAAGAATGTGTTGTATCTTGTTCTACATAGTACCAAATAGGTTTTTCTATTGTTACACCCAGCAATAGAAGAGCTCTTTTTGGTGCTAAATGGAACAGTTTTCAAAAATCTGAAGAACCGTGGCACCATACAAAGAACTATTTCATCATGCAAATGGTTCTTTGAGTGTACATACTTCTATATGGAACAATTTTCTTTACTAAAGAACCCTTGAAAAAACATATTTTTAAGAGGGTATATACATGGGCACCAACTTGGTGTTAAATATTGTCGGGGGGCGGGGGGGTGAAATTTTTTTTAATTTACTTCCTAATCGGACAGTTAATTTCGGGGGAGGATGTTTAAGGAAGCGCAGGAGTCATTAGTGAACATATGCAATTTGTTAATAGAGTTCATTTTGTTTTCATTATCATACACGTTTGTGGTAAAAAAAGTAAATAATGTGATATCGTTGCACTGCTGTCAGCTTGTAATATTATAAGCACATTTTTAATTTTAACCCTGCTGCTGCATGGTGAGAGCGACGCAGACAGTCACGCTTTTCATTTCAGTGATCGTGTTAACAGAGATTTCACAAACTCAGCGTAAGCAGTGGTAACAGAATGAGTGATGCAGTGGGCGGTGTGGGGATTTGAAACAGGTCTTTAATCTCCAGTCATGAGTCAGTTAAGGGAGAGTCTGAATCGAGTCACCAGTCAGTCAACATGCGACCAAGTATATGCGAAGTGTGACATATTTATTAAAATAATCTCTAACAAATCTTTTATTAACACATATCACTTGTGAATATTCTAAGGGATGTAATGGAATCCAACTGTTGGGAATACGTATTCAGAATACAGAAATTAAGTACCTGTATTCAGCCCAAGTTATATTTTTTAAAGGCAGTATTCAGAATACAGTCACTTTGTGCATGTATAAAACACTTTCAGAATACTTACCCCTAAATAATAATAAATCTTTAAAAGAAACACCATCAATGCTTGTTTATTAACTATTTTAAAATCAGCACATGGCATATAGCAAACATGATAAGCTCTACAGAGGACCTTAACTAACAGCTTCTTTACAAGCACTAGTATCAGTAGACTGATAAATCAATATGATGATTAGTATCAATCTCAGTGTTACTGAGCTCTACTAAAGCCTGAGTAGACTGATAAATCAATATGATGATTAGTTATTAATCTCAGTGTTACTGAGCTCTACTAAAGCCTTAGTAGACTGATAAACCAATGTGATGATCAGTTATTAATCTTAGCATTACAGAGCTCTACTAAAGCCTTAGTAGACTGATAAATCAATGTGATGATCAGTTATTAATCTTAGCATTACAGAGCTCTACTAAAGCCTGAGTGGACTGATAAACCAATGTGATGATCGGTTATTAATCTTAGCATTACTGAGCTCTACTAAAGCCTGAGTAGACTGATAAATCAGTATGTTGATCAGTTATTAATCTCAGTGTTAATGAGCTCCTTTGAGGAATGATCAAATTAATGATCTCCTCAGTAGTGGACATGTTTGCGAGTAATAAGCTTAGCATCAGTGTTTTACTGGACTCCTGCTCGAGGGATTGTGGGAGCAACAGTGGACTGAACCAGGTGAAGACAGAGAAAAGAAAAAAGTTAAGAATTGCAGAACTTAATTTAAACAAAAGCAAATTATCCAAGAAACATATTACGTGAAGAATTACATGAAAAAAGTGCCAACCAGTAACAGCAAGTAACAATGTGAATGAAGTAAAAATTACAGCAGTTTTTTCCATGTGTCTTATCAAAATATTGTTTTATATATATATATATATATATATATATATATATATATATATATATATATATATATATACACACTGACTTGCCTTCTCAGCTAAACTAAATGGATAGAAAAGTGTCAGTAATCAAAAGTGGTAACAGTAAGAATGAGTGATACAGTGGGTGGTGTGGGGATTAGAAACGGATCTTTAATCTCCAGTCATGAGTCAGTTAAGGGTGAGTCTGAATCGAGTCACGAGTCAGTCAACATGCGAAGTGTGACGAGTTTGAGCCGCTGAGTCCTCATCTCTGGTTAATAAATACAAGGTAAAAAATAAATGGTAAAAATACAGGATCAAATTAAACCTATCAATATTTTTATGCGTGAATCGGGAAAAGGAAAAGTCACAAATTAATGGATCAATTCTCCAGTGTCCATCCCGAAGTAACCCAACCATCTGAGGTCAAATCAAACTTACTTTACCTGAAACTAAAGCATTGTAGGTAATGCTAGTGGAAGAATAGTGTCAACACATGACTAATGTTTTCTTCTTTTTTTAGAACAGTTATAGTTTTTGTTTTCAATGAAGCTACATGTGTGTCTCTTTTCACAGGGAAAGATGAGATTTGTCTTCTTATGCCTCTCATTTGTCCGCTTTTCACACCTTTGGGGAAACCTAATGCCTTTGGGTAAGGAACATCAAGATTTCTGACCATTTCCTCATTTACAATTTTACAATTAGGAACATTCTGAAAATTTCACTCAGTGTATGTGGCCATCTATTTAGATCTTCACTGCCACGAAATGTTCTTAACATGACAGGAAACAAAAAAACCCCCCAAAAAAACAGGAAGATTTTTTCACTGTGGGTAGAGCTGGCTGCTTGCCAAATATTCTTTTAAATGCAGCTTTTTTATCAGAATAAGTAAAAGAGGCCAAAGAGGCCTTTGGTTTCTGCACTGTTAAAAGAAATAAGTCTGGTTAATTTAGTATCATAAGGCAACAGATTTCACAGCAATTTTGAGTTATCTCAGCTTAGTTTAGACAAACTGCATCTCAGTTAGGTCAGCAATATAGTTTAAGTAGATCTAAAAAAAATGATGTTTTCTACTTTCCTCCTCCCCCCTCAGTTTGTTCACTGCTAAATTCCACCTGCAGGTTAAGACTCCCCCATCACATGATGTCCCAGTTTGTGGGAGGGAGCAGAGGCATAGCACCAAATCTGTGAAAAAAAAATCAAGTAAAGAAAAAAAAATGTGTTTATTATGTTGTATTTCTTTATGAGGCTGGTTGATATGCATTGAAGGGTAAAACAGTTAACAATCAATAAGGCTTTGTGCTTTCACTGCAAAAAATATTACATCTAGTCAAAATATCTAATAATCCTCATTCTGAGATTGTTGTAAACTTATTTTAAGATTATTTCATTTTCATTATTTCATTATTTGTAGGCATTCTTACTTGGCTGATGTAATTTTTCAAGTAATATCATCTCACTGTGTTGCAGATAATTTTGCTGGTTTCAAGCATGTTTCTTAAAACCAGCAAAATATCTGCCAATATACTGAGATAATCTGACTCACTAAAATCACCCAGAACAGATATAAATGTCTTGAATAGAGTTAAATTATCAATAAAGTTACCACAAAAAGTTACCATTACTCAAAATGAGTAATATTAGATTTAAGATACTTTCATTTGCCAAGTTACCAGTTTTTGCAGCGTTGAATCATCAGTCTTGCTGTAGTTCACAAAGGGACTTAAATTTAGTTTCTGTTCAAGTCAACCAATGTACTTAAAGGGAAATTTAAAAGAGAAAAACAAAAGTAAAAATATGTTAATATATTTACCGTCATTTTCACTTAAACTGCTCAACAAATGGCTGATTGTAAGTTGGTTGGAACACCCGTTAGCTACTTGCTTTGCTCAGCTCACCTCATCTCATTAAGCGACATCAGTAAAGAAAGAGGCGCTGTTCTCTCTCCCTCAGTGACTTCTGAGACTAACAGAGTGAGTTTTACTAATGAGCTGCTGGGCTGAGGCTAAACTTCTCTTATGATCACAAAAAACACTGTCTGTTAAAGTAACTATTATAAACTATAAATGTTTACTAGCTGTATTGAATTAAAACCTGCTTCTTTATCAGCTTGTGCTTGATATGAATGACTGCTTACCAGCTAATCGCTAGTTAGCAAGCTAGCTTACGTCAACATATTTAGTTCGGCACTTTAGGCTCACCTGTTTCTGAAAATAACTTGTCAGCAGTTGTCTTTCTGCCCTCTTTCAGCTTTTTCTCTCATTCTCTGTGCTCCTTGTGCTTCTAAAATCCTGATTTTGGTTTTTCTTTTATTTTGGTTTGAGAATTGGCGAAAACCACTGACTTCTCTTTTTAGCCACGCTATTTACACAATACATTTGCGCACCGAGGATCAAACCACTTTAACTTTTGAGGCAGGGAGGACAAGGAGGGGGGCAGGAAGCAGGCAGATAAGCAGAGAAAGGAAACGGGCAGATAAGCAGATCTTATCATGGAAATTATTATATACTTTCTGTAATAACAGAAAGCATCAAAATTAGAAACCAAATTCAATTTATTTGTGAGGCTTTTGGAGGGCCCCCATCCAGGCAAGGCTCTGGTTAGTCAGGTCCACCATTACCCTTGGTCTGACACCCCTGGATGGAAGAGTGGGGTTTCCTACTCTGAGAGACCTGACATTGTGGGACTGTGGCATTTGAGCTAATAACCTAAAAACACAAAATACCAAAAAAAAAGTAAATAATTCATTTCTGCATGATCATTTTCCAACCTATTGTTATCACTTAGAATTAAACAGGCTGTTTTTGTAACAGATATATGAAAATGACCTTTGTTTTGTAAATAATCCTTTTTATTGGCTGCCTCATTCAGAAAGCAGTCCAGGCTGAAATCCTCTTTCCAACTCCATCATGAATGGCAGATAAATAGGCAGATAAATGTAAACGTGTTGGTTTTTGTGACATCACAAGAACAATTAATTCAAAACAGACCGTTTTTGTAACTTAATATTTATACTTGGCTCCAGCAAACAGTATATTTTTGCAATGTTTACATGCTGCATCAAACGCTTATTGCAAAAAAGAGAGGAAAATGTGATTTCCTGTGATGTGGGTCTTTTACACTGTATTAACTGAGATGTACTACTAAAACATATTTTCATTCAAAAAAGCTTTACAATCAGTTGCCTTATAACTTTAAGATCACCTGAGTTTTTTTACAGTGTGAGGTTACAGTCAGTGCTGGGTTAGGTGTAGCACAGCCGTATTTACATAGTCATACAAAAGGCAGAGAAAATGTCCCACCCAGACAGGAAAACAAACTTATTTGTATGTGTTTGTGTGTGTGTGTGTGTGTATGTGTGCAGGAGGTAACTACAGCCTGGAGTGTTTGAACGATTATCTCTTCACCATCACCTGTGTGCTAAATGTGTCCTCTGATCTGTTGCCCCACGGCGCCACCTCCTGGCTGGAGTTCAACGACAACTACAGGTTACAGCACTGCAGACATTTATTATTCATTAACCTCATGCATATTCAAATACATTCAAATGAGGCTCTAGTTCTGTTTGTTTTGACACTCTAGCTGGTCTGTACCAGCCAGGAGTAAATGCACAGTCAATAAGTGTGTGTGAGAGAGAAGAGAGTAAACAAATTAATATGTGTGTGTGTGTGTGTGTGTGTGTGTGTGTGTGTGTGACATAATACAGGGAGCCCTATCAGTGTGTGTTAAAAACACAAGCACACTCGTGGGTGTGTGAGCTGGATTTGACTCTGCTGGTTGAGTACACGTTCACCGACACAGACTTCTTCCAGATTTCTCTGAACTCCAGTTACCATGGCAACAGCAGCTCGGCAGTACTGGAGGAGATCTATAAACCAGTTAAACACAGTAAGAGCACACACACGCACACACACACACTAGAGACGGGCATTATGACAATATTTATAGCTATCATGATAAAATATGTCGTAATATGCTTTTCTGAGGAGATCATTGATATTGTCAGTTTTCATAGCTACACTATGTAAGATTTGGTGATCAAACCTTGGTAAGGGAAGTGTGTTCTGAGGATGAGTGTATTATCTAGTACTGTCATCATATCTTCATCAGTATAATGTTGATTTTGTATTTAAGATGTAAACATTGAGCCAGATTTTTTTGTGTCCCTGATAGCAAGAGGATATTGGGCCACTGTTGGCCCGCTGATGGCTAGCAGTCCACTGGCATTTTGCTCAGCATTGTCTAGGCGGCCCACTGGTGGTTAAACAGAGTATTAGACAAAATTCCCCTTATCATCGCTCATTTTCCACTTACAGTCCAATTTACTTATTTTTCCCTCCTTCCTTTCTTTAGTTATACTTTGTAAATTAGTTTAGTAAACAAATTTTAATCTAGCACAGTGTCAGCAACAACATTTTTTATAAAATCATTTTATATCAGGCCTAGTCATAATTTTTTTTCTCAGTTTGAGAGAAAAAGTTTGTCTTAGAAAAGACTTGTCTTAGTTTATTTTCCAAAATAAAAGGCTTGGTGCATTTAAAATTTCTTTAAGGAGATTAAAACAAGTTCAAGCTTGTATGTAGAACAGTAATCTGGGTGGTTCGAGGGCGGACCAGCAGTGGCAAACAGTCAGCGGGGTGCCAACCTTGTCAAGCCAGCAGACTGATATATGCTTGCTGTCTGGGGTGTGGTCTTTTTTTTCTTTTTTTCTCTGATTCAGTGATGCTGCTGTATTCAGCTTTAAAAAAAATCATACATAGTGCAGCTTTAAAGAACATGGACCAGCTCTTTCAGGCTTGACAAAAAACTTACATAGTGCTGCTTTAAAGGACAATGTTTCATTACAAAGAGAGCATAATTAGTCTGGTTTCATTGGATATAGTGCGGTGTAGTATGTAAAACCTTAAATAAAATCACACACTAAAATATTTGTCCAAACATGACGGGATTCGAGTGCTCTTGTTAAGTTCAGACGTTCTTTCCCAAATATGTGTCAGGCTCCAGTCACGTTTAGGTTTCCACTCCCTGCCTCTCATTTTTAATAGATTTCACCCTGAACTTTCTCCGCTTACGTTTTTTCTCTTTAATTAATTCTTCTTCTCTACCTCTCTCATTGAATCTCTCATCATGTTGTTGACAGAATTTAGCACCATAAGGCCCACATTTATGAGAAAAGGGAAATAAACAATGAACTGATTCAGAGGAATACAGTTTAGTTTAGTCAAAAAGATGCTTAATTTGTTTGTAAAGCATTTTAAATTGTATGTTATATAACAGGTTTTATGTAAAGAAATACAGTTTTAGGATTAAACAGATAAAGGGATGTTGTTCAAAAGCATTGCTTGATGAATAAATTCTTTGAAGAAGAATTTACACTTATTCTGATTATTTTATTACATTATATTATATAATATATTTTTAATCCATTATCTAATGAGGCTATCAGTGTCACCACCAGAATTTTGTTTAGCTCGGGTCAGTTTAAGAATCGAAACTTGATAAGGTTTGGGTCGGATTCTTCGGACTCAAAACATGATGCTGCCCTTTTGCCCTCAGACTGTACAAGTGCACTCTTAGAAACACATGTATGACAATTGTGTGTTATATCGCCCTCTCCATTCTCAAAGATCAGTTTCAGTGAGGCTCAGCTTATCCTCTGAAATAGTGTTTGTGTTTTGGCTTGGGTTCTACAAGAGTCATAGCACTTTAACACCCCTCTGGTGCACTACAGGCTGCCTGTCACACATCAACACAACACTGGAAATCCCATCAATAAAAACACTGATAATCTCTTCGAGAAAGCATCACAATCCATACTGTGGTTATCTTTAACAACAACTAAATATAAAGTTAATAATAACTGTGTTAATAATTTGCTACACCCAGTTTTTATATATTGTATATTATATTGTATATTGTATAACATTTTAGAGACTCTGTCACACTCATAGATAACTAAATCTTACACAATAATTAAATGGTGTAGTGAGTAATGGCTTTGGCAACTGGGGGTTAAATCCCTGCATAGATACAATACATGGCTAACACCCCACCTAATTATAGAGTTCAGGTGTTTCAGCCACACTCTTTGCTAACAGATGTATAAAATGAAGCACATAGCAATGCAACCTCTATGGACAAACTGTGGCACTAGAATGGGTCATATTAGCCCTGCTAGATCTGCCCCGGGTAACCGTAAGGGTATCTACACACTAGACAACACAAGGAGTGGTAGGCATAAACGCATGTAGATCTTGTCTGTCTAGAAGGCATGTACAGTTTGACATCCAGTGGGAAACAAAACATTTGGGCCAGAAACAAAGAAATATGGGACACTGAAAGCACATTTTGGCGATGGCCCTATACAGAGCCAAACAGACAATAGCCGCGATGGCAATGAAGTCACATAGAACAGGAAAAGGGTCCACAGCGTTAATACTGTCCTCCATCTTGGATTTTCATCCATCTTCTGCCTACACGTTTCGATTAGTTGATGTGCCTCAACATCAGAATCTGTTGCAGCAAAAGTTGGAATGGTTTTAACTTTTTCAATGCTCGGCGATGCGTCTTTTCACTGCATACAGGCACATTTCTAGTCTGAGCTAACACAGCATCATAACTGAAATACACTGGAGGACTGCATTTCTGACACTGCCTCAACTTCTAGTGTGTAGACACACTGACGCTGCATTTACACTGCTCTGGCATGCCAACACACTGCAACGTATCCAATTTGTTTTTTAATGAAAAGCATTGGTTCCGTCAAGCGTGGCCGCGCAGTGCATGATGGGTCTGGTGCATTGAGTCTGGGGGATGCATAGTGTCTAAAAGTTGAGTGGAGCTGAACATTATTAAAATGAATCTGGCCAACGCAATGCATCTACCCAACAAGGAGGCAGCTGGCATTTGTGTGATTCATGTCTGCAGCTCAAGGTATGAAACATTGGTTCCACTTTTCAAACATTCCCACACAACAAGGAATACTAGCGGGGAAAAGCTAATATATTTTAACACAACTGTTTACCTCCAAAATTTAAATTCCGAGCAGGAAAAGGATTTGTTTGATGATAATAAACCAAAATGACTGATGTTGACCCCAAGTGGTAATCAACAACCTAAACTGTCATCATTCCAATTCAACCTTATTAACATTTTTGAAATTATTAGCTTAATGATACATACTTTCTGCTTATTCAAAAAAATCTAAGCATTATTAAATAAATATCAGTTTAGCAGGACTACATTTCAAATGGATTTCGCAAAGAACTCATTTGTAACATCCACATGGTACAACAAGAGGAAGGATGTGTAGCGATTAACTGCTGCTTAATTCACCTGTTTCCCACTTATACCGTAAACATAACTTACTTTTAGCCAGTGATCGATTAATCGGATTGTGATACACATTCCTCACACAACCAAACAAGTGATAACTTAAATAAAGGGTCATTTATTAATAACCAGGTAAATAAGCTCTAAATGATAGATTAATAGGTTTGCAAAGAGAAACTAGAGACATGAGATTCGCTGGATGAAAATACTGTAGTTAGCTGAAACTCAGAAATAGCTATTTTATGGGGCTCGAGCAGTATACAGAATGGACTATAAATGGTAGTGTAGTAACTGATCTAGGTTTAAAGTAAGGGGAGAGGGGGCAGAGTAACACAGCATTGAGACTGAGTCATATAGCTACAGAAGTGAGAGTGCCTTAGAGCCTTAAAGCTTGGGGAGGAAAGTCACAGGTCTGTGTGCTGGTTAGAAGAGGGTCTTTGGGTCACATAGTCCATAGGGGCGTTACCCCAGACACCACAAAAACTGGCCAGGACAAATGAGCGTGGTGAATGTCAGCTGGCTTGTGTCGATGTCTTGTGAAGATGGCAGACTTTTCCAGTTCTTCAGCAGTGGCTGGAAAAGTCAGGCCGCAGTTTCACACCAGGCCGCTGTAGCAAACTTCTGTGCCAGGGTTTTGCGTTCAATTTCCAAATGAATATGCAATCTTTTTGTCTGAGTAATTGCTCAAATTCACCATAAAATAATTTCACATACATAGATTTCTGAGCATGGTTGCATAGCATTAAGTTAAGGAACATTATAAGCATGTCATTTCATATATATTTATGACTGTTTCAAAGGTAAATATAACCAGAAACTAATGAACATACAACCTAATATATTTGAAGTGCTCTAATTTCACACAATGGTTGCATAAAGCTACTTGAAACAAGCCTGCTTCCAAAAGAAACATGATTACTAAGGAAAGAAAATGAGAATTCTGAAAAAAACAAAAAAGTGGAATGCAAATATGAGGTTAGAACATGATTCACATGAATGAAGTGAATGAAATTGGGTTACAGTTTAAGAAACATAAAATACCTATTAAAATTCCCTACAGGTTTAACAGATATTATCAATTAGGAAAGGGGATACATTCGATTTAGTATTCGATTAAAGTTGGCATGTCATTTAGTTTGCAAGAGAGCAGGAGAGCAAGCTGGGCTTTTAAGATTCAGTTTGTGAAAGGACCTGAAGGAATTTATAACCAATGCAATGCACTCATGTGCAGAGGGTAGTGGGGGAGAGATGAAAGAGAGAGGTGTAGGGAGCAATAGAGTCTGGCTGCAGACATGCACTCTCAGCCAGATGCACCCTCAGACCCAGTGACGTCACGTGCACATGCACCCTCTGCCACAATGGCAGACGCAGCCCAACAACACGTTAACGTTTGGCTACTTCTGCTCAGCTATATCGTCACTTAATCCATTTTCCGTCCATAACACGGCTAGATGATTACATTTAATGTACCTCCCTGTTCAAAAAAGTCATAAAACCTATTAAAAGTGTCTGTTGGTTCCTGGTGGTTTTCAGTAGTCACTAATGCTATTCTGTGTTTCCCTGAGGGCTGATATCACAGTAAAAAGGATTCAAATCCTTTAATCGGGTGTTTTGGGACTGATTCCAGACATTTGTTTGTTTTTTTTTAATGGTCTCTAATGGCAACCATCAAGCCAACACCCATTAGGAATCAATATCATCAGGTTTTATTCCTAACGGTTCTAATCGTCTTCAGCATGGCTTTCATGAGTTTCGGAGTTTAGCTTGTTTGTTTTTTCTGCTAATAAACCCGACACTCATGTCTTATCATCATAGTTTTATTTTGAAAGTTTCCATACTTAATTACCTTATTTTCAGCATGGCCACATTAATATATGTTCAGTGTAACTCTTGTTGCCCAACAGTACGTGGTTCGCTGTTTTTCCTCATAAACCCAACAAAAACACTAGCGTGGCAGAGCGTGCACTGACATCATCAATAGGCTGGCGGTACACGTCAGGCTGAGAGTGTATGTCTGCAGCCAGACCCTTCTTGTAGGGGTGGATTCTTTCCCAAATTGTTTGCAAAAGTGATTTTGTGAGGTGGTCCATTAGTGTTGCAGACTCAGGGTTATCTGGTCATTGTGTATTTTATATTGGCCAGGTCCTCCTCCCGCTACGCACTTGAAGCAGGAGACCACACAAACTCCAAATTCTGGAAGCAACCTCAGCACAAGAACTGTGCATCAGGAGCTTCATGAAATGGGTTTCCATGACTAAGCAGCTGCACCTAAGCCTCCAAGCGTCACCTGGAGTGGTTTAAACATGCTGCCACTGGGCTCTGGAGCAGTGGAAACGTGCTATGGAGCGATGAAACATGCTGGCAGTCTGAGGAAGGAATCTGGGTTAAGTGGATGCTCAGAGAATGCTACCTACTGGGATGCATAGTGCTAACAATAAATTTGGTGGAGGAGGGATAATAGGCTGTTTTTCAGGGTTTAGGCTCAGGCTGTTAGTTCCAGTGAAGGGTAATGTTAATGCTACAGCATACAAAGACATTTTAGACAGTTGCTTCCAACTTTGTGGCAGCAGTTTAGCGAAGATCCTTTCCTGTTCCAGCATGACTGTGCCTCTGTGCACAGGTCCATAAAGACATGGTTTGACGCGTTTGGTGTGGACGAATTACAGTGGTCTGCATGGAGCCTGACCTCAACGCCACTTAACACCTTTGGGATGTGCTTGAATGTTGATTGTGAAGCGGAACATCGATTCTTGTACAAGTGGTACAAGTGGACTCTTTTGACTTTTTTTGATCTTGTGGAGACTCTTTCGAGAAAAGTGGGGCAACTACGTATTAATGCCCATGGTTTTGGAATAGGATGTTCAGCAAACTCACACATGTTGGTCAGGTGTCCATATACTTTCGCCTATATAGTGGTAGTGTTTTTAGCTGCCTTGGGGAAAAAGCTCTTAACACTACTGTCTCTTTTGGTAAGAGTGATTGCAGTATACTGTAATAAACTCCAATATGTGTGTTTGTGTGTGTGTGTATGTGTGTGTGTGTGTTGCAGTTCGTCCCGTTCCTCCCTCGAATCTGTCCTTGCTATGGAAGACTGATCGCGTTGTTTTTCATTGGCTGAGTGGATACCAGGAAAACGCATCGCTCATACAAAACCTCCAGTACGAACTCAGCATACACGCTAATGGCCAGGTGGGCCTACATGCATTTTTTCTAAATGCACATTCACTCACCAGTCACTTTATCAGAAATCCCTGCCTTGTTGCTCCATTGCTGGTGTTCAGTTTGAAACTATAGCTTATCTGTTGAAACATAGTTTGTGTTTGTCTGTGATTGGTTGTTTTGTAGGTCGTGGCCCTTACCTCTCAAAGTAGACAGTTCTTGGCCATGGTATATCAAAATACACCATACTCTCTGAAGATAGGCAGAAGGCTGACCTGCAAGACTAGCCTTTGAGCCGTTCTTGGCTGGATATTGTTTTTGGGTGGTGGGCCAATCTCAACCTAGCAAACGAGCCTAGCATGTAAAACTCTCCGCTGTGTCTGACACTCATACGAGGACCACACACACACTACTGTACCACAAATATGTTTCAAGTCAGCTGACACCTTATATCTGTTTGCCGACTAAAATAACTGATACGTTTTCTGCTTTAATAAGGCACGTGTTCATTTCTTCATTAGTCCACTGGTACCTGCTGCCTTCTGCCATGTTTCCTAGCATTGGCCAGGGATAACAGATTCACCTGCTTAGTCATCTTTTATATATTTTTATTCAATATTTGCTGTTTCCATCAAGTCATTTTTATTCTATATGTCATAATAAGCACAAAAATATGTGGATAGAAACCCAGCTAGTGTCACTGCTGTGCTGAGAATGATCCACCACCCAAATAATACCTGGTCAACAGCTGTCCTGTAGCCAGAAACTGAACAAAAATGAATAGAGTAGAGAATGACTGATAAATTGTACAGTCTGTAATTGTGTACTTACTCAGTGGACCTATAAGATAGGCAGAGCTCATAAAGTGACAGGTAAGTGGAAGGTAAGCTGTTTCTAATAAAGTGTATGTATGCTTTTCAGGTCGTTCATGTCCATCCAGTGGATACACATGTGGTTGTGGAAATGTCTAGTTTTCTGTCTCACACAAGCTATATGGCCTGTGTGCGCTCAGCGCCCAACCAGATGCATTACAGAGGAGTTTGGAGTCATTGGGGGCCTGCTGTACACTGGACAACTAGGGCCGTCTCCAGTAAGAGAAAAGAGAATTTGCATACTATAAACACTTGGTAAAGTGGAAAAAACATATATGGACCATTCTACTGAATTTAGATATGCACAACCAGTGGAGCTCTCTTACGAAGAAATGTTCCAAATTACATACTCATCAATGCACACCTGCAAAACGGAAATCATGTACTGTTTTGCTCAATTCAAAGATGTAATGTTACATAGACCCTGTGAGTAAATTAGCCTGGACATAAAGTGTTTTAAGCATGTATTTGTTTGTATGTAGAAGGAGAAACTCTGGACTCGTCTTTCTCCCGCATTTGGTTCGCTGTGTTCTGTCTACTGCCAGTATTATTCCTACTGCTGTCCTACATCCCATACTACAGGTGAGTCTCTCTCTCTCTGACACACACACACACACAAACAGAGGTAAGTGTTCCTCATGGCAATGTAGAAATGTAGTAATGTATTCATGTACTTTTTTTCTGTTTCTTTTATCCAGGTGGAAGAAGCATGTATTGATCCCAAGTCCCACTCCATACATCAGAGATTTCAAAGTGAGTCTGATTTATACTCTGATTGAGTGTCTGTAGCCCTAGTCTCAGCCTCAGATGCTACAGTAGACCTGGATGATTTAAAAATAATTAGCACAATGTTTTCTTGTTAAAAAAAATATGAATTATACTGACAACCTATTTTTATCCTATACATTTGAATGCAAAGGTTTGAACAACACCAGTCAAATGACATTTTCTTGAATTTCTAAGTGAAAATAAGCCAACTTATCCTTACAGATAACACACTTGAATATGGCATTTTCCAGCAAATTTTAGTGCACACTTTCTATTTATTTGCTGAGTTTACCATATTGAGGAAAAAAAAAAGTAAATTATAGAATGGGCCTTAACTTTAGCTCAATGTGTTAAATTCAGCAAATAAACAGTAATTGTAATTGTGAAAATGTTGTGGAAAAATGGAAATGTGTTCTCTGTAAAGGATATGTAACTTACTGTAACTTCTTTTTTTTGTTGTTTACATTCATTGTTTTAAAAACACTTACTGAAGAATACTGAGTATTCTTCAATAAGTGTTTCCCAGAGTGCCAGTAAAACCTCACGTGTTTAATGACAGTGCCTGTTAAATTACTGTTTAGCCTCAAGAACAACCACCATTAAATCACAGAGAAATAAAATGCAGAAAATCAGTTAATGTAGTTATATAAGAAAGCAACCAAAATTAATTTTAAATTCCACTTTAACAACTTTATTCATCAAGCAGTGCCTTCTAATGATGACCCAAATATTTTTAGCCTGAATAAATTTTACATTACATCTCCCGAGATTGTAATGTTCCTGTGTCCACTTTATGCATCATCAAGAAGTTTGCAGCCCATTGCACTGTACCAGGAGGACCCCACTGCTGATGCAGAGACATAAAAAAGCCAGACTGGAATTTGCAAAAACTTACCTTAAGAAGCCAAAATCCTTCTGCCAGAATGTCCTGTGGACAGATTAGACCATAATAGATCTTTTTGATAAAGCACATTATTGTTTTGTTTACAGAAAATTAAAATGAGGCCTTTAAAGAAAAGAACACAGTTCCTATAGTCAAACATGGAGGAGGTTCACAGATGTTTTGGCTTTGCTTTGCTGCTTCTGGCAGTGGGGGCCTTAAATGTGTGCATGGCATCAGGAAATCCAGACATTACCAAAGACTCTTGGAGCACAATGTAGGGCCCAGAGATCTCAAAGCAGCAGCTGGGAGAAGGCACCCTTCAAATCTGGGTAACCTGAAGCAGACTGCAGAAGAAGAGTAGCCAAAAATTTCTACAGAGAGGTACTAGAAAAGTAGTCATGGCTGTAAGAAGGGCTTGATTTCAGTTATTCTTTCCAAAGTGTGCACTACAAAATTAAGTTTTGGGTACCAATAAATTTGTTCATACCACAGATACACTAAGTTCTGAGTGTACAAAGAAAGTACTGTATTATTATTAGTGAAATAAGGAACAATGGAAAGTGTTTTTTGTCAATTTCAGCTTTTTTTGGAGTAAATCTAATTATTTTGTAGCAATTTGTGGGGACACTTTATTTTGAGTGAAACAAACACTCAACAGACTCTCAGTAACATGTCAAAAACATATGAGGATTAGGATTAGGTTTTGGGTTGAGGTTAAGGTTAAGGTTAGGATTAGGATTAGGGCTAGGGTTAGGGTTAGGTTTTAAGCTCTAGCTGTGATGCATTTCAGTCACAGCCCGTGTCTGCATGTTTTCAGAGATGTGCGATGCTGCCGGGGATCGCGAATGAGCTGCTGCAGGAGGAGGAGTCTCTAAAGATTGACAGCATGATTGAAGATTCAGACTCCACCCCTTCACCTAGCCCTGTCCACTATGAGAAGATGAGAAGTGTGCATGATCAATCTGAGCACCCCTTCATTACATCTGCAGCCCCATTTGTGTCTCCCAGCATGCTCCTTTCACCTGCAGGGACGGAGATCAGCTTCAGCAGCTGGCTGGAGGACTTCGCAGCAGCAGAGACGGGCAGTGTGACATGCAGCGAGGATTACTGCACACTCTCTCACACTCACACTGAACAGGCGACCAACTAGCGGTACAGCATATGAATTCTACACTCTCTGCTCCTTTTTTGACCTCCTCACTTATACTCAATTCTATTTTGCACTTCATTGCTATTAAAAAACAAACAAAAAAAAAAACCAAACATCTCCAAAATGTTAACAGGAGAGGTCAAAAACTTTCTTAAATTTGAATGTAAGTTAATGTAAAGAGATTTTATTCCAAGCAAGTTTGGAGCATTTCTATTGGTCCATTAATTGTGAAATTCTCATGCAATTTAAAGGGCAGCTGCTGTGCCCAAATAATACAGGATATATATATATATATACATATATATACATATATATATATATACATATATATATATATATATATATATATATATATATATATATATATATATATATATATATATGTATATAGGACAGGACAGCGGTGACTTTATAGCTGGTCTTTAAATAATATTTTCAGTTTGCTGCAGCTAACAAAAGCAGCTTGTTGTTTCATGTTTGCTGTATTGAGGGCTCAGGAACGAAACTGCAAAATTCACTATGAGCAGAACCAATATATAAACGTTTCTGCTCTTGCGTTCCAACCCCAATATAGTGTTCCTGAACCCGAAACACCCAACCCCCCACCCACCACAAAAAAACCTGTTTATAAACCTTTAGGTTGCTTCAAAATACAGCTATACAGTTTCAAAGCTGCACTATATTAGTTTTAGGCATTTGGAGACCTCTCTGGTGAAATAACTACCGCAACATACTGTAACGCTAGTTGTACTTCGGAACTCAATGAGCAGATAAATCTGATGTGAGTGCATTGAAAGAGTTTAGAAAGTGAACTTGGTGAAGGACATGTCTTCTGAGGATGTAAGTAAAGGAACTACTATTGTCATCATGACACATACACATTGAGCCAGATGTTAATACATAAATATGTAAGACAGGGTCCAAAAAAACCCACCAAATCTGACCCGACACCTCTGACTTTTACATTACTATGTGGGATTTACACAGTGACTTCGCAGCAGCGAACGCACACCTGACTCAGTAATGCTACTTCTTTCAGTTCTCATTAAAATATTCTACGTAGCACTGCTTTTAGTATCTTATAGAACCAGAATATTAACATATTATAATTTACTAGAGGTTGTTAGTGTAGCATGGCTATTTGTGTAATGTATACTTTTACTTCAATGTAATGAGTACAAGCGCACTTACATTTCACTGTGTAGGCTTGTGATCAATCAGTAGTCAGCATACTGTGACTATGCGCTAGTGTTGAGATCAAGACTACTAGAGGCAAGTCCAAGTACAACTCCAGGCCAAGACCAGATAAAAAAAGTGTGTGAGTATGTATATATATATATATATATATATATATATATATATATATATATATATATATATATATACACAGTTGTGAATTAATTTGCATTATATTATAGATATATATTGTTGCATAATATTACATTACAATATATTTTGTGAAATATAACATTAAATGATATATAGCCTAAAACATTTTAATTAATTTATTTTTATAAATAATTATAAACTTTGCATTGTCCTTCCTTCTCTAAATCTTATTCAGAATAACCACTTAAAGTCAACTGAACACGAACCAAACAACATCCGTTTTTATTATTAAATGAAAACATTAACATTCTGATCTGCTCTCAGGGGATGTTTGAATTTTGAAACTAATGAACATCAACAAAAAAAGTGCTCAGATAAGCCATCATGAAAAGGATCAATTAGATTGTTATTTCTCAACGGGTAGTGTACAACAGTGGTTTTCAACCTGTGGGCTGTGGTGGTGGTACTGCTAGGGGACAGTTTTTACTGAAAAAAATAGCTACAATATAGACATTTAACCAAACATAATTTAAAATACCACACATGTTCATTATATCCACAAAAAAAAAAATTATACAGGGCTCATTAATTGTATCTGTATTAAATGTATTTATATTTTCAGTGCAAGCATAACCAAAAACAAAGGATGTAAAGCAGTGAATGTAAAACTGCTTTTCCAAAAAAATTGGAACACTATGCAAAATGTAAATAAAAACAGCAATGATGTGCAAATGATCAGAAAGCAATGATGTGCAAATCATTTAAACCTTATATTTAATTGAAAACAGTACAATAACAACATATCAAACGTTGAAACTGAGAAATTTTATTGTTTTCTGAAAAAAAAAAATGCGTATTTTGTATGTTGTATTATATTGTTTTTATATCTTTGGGCTTCACATGCATGAGAACTGAAAACGTGTATTTATGTGAGACTAAACAGAGCGAATATGTATCTAAATATGTATTTTCTCTCTACGGCCTAACATTCAGCACTTGGTAGCTGCCAAACAACACCAAGCAGGTGGGCCACAGAAGCTTTTGTGTTTGTATGTGTTTAAAGGTCAATAATAGCCAATAATAATAGGAAAAACTTCAGTGTCCAGTATCCTCTGATGGAGACATCACACTCAGCTGTCCTCAAAAACAGTTTCTGAGTTCACTTCACCCGGAGAGTGAGACAAGACCGAGTTTGAATGATGTCGAAGATGAGTGAGACTGAGACCAAGGCAGCTAGTTTATGGTCTCTAGAGTACTATGGCACTACTACGCAACTCCACGGAACAAAAAATCATGTTATTAAGCATTAGCAGAGATTTCAAATAAACTTTACTGTTACAGAATATTTAAGGATGAATATGTTTTTGGTTTCACTTAACAAAATACCATCAATGTCCTGTTTTTTGTTTTCGTTCCTCTTTGAGCCCTGGCTCTATTGTACAAAGCGCAACATTTCAGAGACACGTTTGTTTTTACACTGGAGTGCAGTGTGTTTTCTTAAAGCAATATGCCATTTAAGGCTGTACATTACAGTGATTTGATTACAGGGAAGTGTGTTATTAGGCACAGTGATACAATGACATACTGTTGTTCAATCTTACTATCAACTTACCATGAATGTAGCAACTATGCAAAAGTTTGGGAACCCTGGTCAAATTACATGTGTTTTTGCTTTTCTAAGTGAAAATAAATGAACACATCTTTTACAGAGAACACATTTTAAAGCACAGTTACTGTTAATTTGGGGATATGATAATCACGTTGTTAACATATTAGAAAATGATTGTGGCACACATTTTGTTTCATTTTTTCCGATATGTTGAACAAATTTTAGTGCACAGAAATTGTACATTTGAGAAAATAGAAACTGTGCAATAAAATACGCAAAAGCCATATATAAATTTGTTCGCTGTAAATGTGTTAACCTATTCTCACTTAAATAGGCACCTTGTATGAATGTATGAACCAAATTGCACTTTTTGCCACTACTATACCACCACTATAGACCCCAAAACTTTATTTTGGTGTATGATAAAAAACCATATTTACCTATGACAGTAGATTAAGTAGATTGCTTATGTTCAGAAAGCACCAATAGGCCCAGTGCTGTAATATTGTTTTGCTGCTCACCCTGCCTGTTTACGATAGGTAATCAATTCATTAGTCGACTGAGGAAAGATAGGCTATTAGATCTACATGCTTTTATGTCTTCTTTCCAGCTGCTCAGTTATAAAAGGCTTGAGGAGTTTTTCTTTTTTTTCTTTTTTCTTTCAATTACACTGAGAACCAGTCACAAAGCAAGATTTAATGCAGAAACATCACACATGGCTTTGTAAAACAGTCTTTGTTTTGTGTATATACATGGATGTATTTCTTCATATTTTATGGATTTAAACTCTAACTTCAACATGGGCATATAAAGCTTGCAACAGGTAACATGTTAGTTAGTTAGTTCACACTCCAGTATTAAGTAACAATTAACAATTGAGTATTAACAATTAAGTATTAAGGTATTTACAAGGATTATGTTATGATCTATTTAAACCAAAGGCATTAACTGAGATAATAATGTGCTTAATTTGTAAAAAATCATCATTTTGTGTCTCAAACCCCTTAATTTCAACTTATGAAAATATTTGTTTTTTTTTGCATTTCTTATTTTTTCTGAAGGATCTTTTCGATTTGAGGTTGAAAGATTTATCATGAGTTTAATTTTTTAATAAAAAAGCTTTATTGAAAACTGCTGTTGCACTTTTTTATGTCACTACCATAATACAAAAAGTTTTAGTTCATGGGCGGACCCTTTTTAGCCACACCCCTGCAGGAAGTGAGACTGCATCCCTGTCCCTCCTGACCGTCATGGAGCAGTTAGATCTCATTGTTTTGAAGTAAATGTGTCCCAAAGTCTGAAAATGTGTGTGTAACATTAAGAAATGTCATTACCAAAACACACATTTTCTGCAGTTAAGTAAACTTTGTGTTTTAATGAAAAAGACTTTATGTGTGAAAAACTGTTCAGAGCTATGTTTGCATTTTTGGGTTCTGCTCAAAATGAACTAACATTGTGACTATTTAAACAGTCAGTACTGAAACATTTGGTAAAGTTTCGGTACTGTTATGATGTGGTAGTGTTACAAAATGGAGTGTTCAGTCATTTGTTTTAAGAAAATATACATTATTAAGGTTTGGAGTCACTCAAAGCAAAATAATTTTAATATAAAGTCCATGTCCAATATATATGCACACCGATCAGGCATAACATTATGACCATCTATTTCTCTGCGTACTTTGTTAGCCCCCTTTTACCCTGTTCTTCAGTGGTCAGGACCCCCATGGACCCTCACAGAGCAGGTACTATTTGGGTGGTGGATCATTCTCAGCACTGCAGTAACACTGCCATGGTGGTGGTGTGTTAGTGTGTGTTGTGCTGGTACGAGTGGATCAGACACAGCAGTGCTGCTGGAGTTCTTAAACTTGGTGTCCACTCACTGTCCACTCTATTAGACACTCCTACCTTGTCAGTCCACCTTGTAGATGCAAAGTCAGAGACGACAGCTCATCTGCTGCACAGTTAGTGTTGGTCATCCTCTAGTCTTTTATCAGTGGTCAGAGTATGCTGCCCACAGGTCACTGTTGGCTGGATATTTTTGGTTGGTGGACTATTCTCAGTCCAGCAGTGACACTGAGGTGTTTAAAAACTCCACTCAGACCAGCGCAACATTTTATGCAAATTTTGATGCTTCTTTGAATCTTATGATTCACAGAAGGCTTCTGTTCACATTTATGACATAGTACGTAACTTACCTTCATTCTAATGTGACCTCAGTAAGGTTATGGCTATGCAGACAGGTGTGTTATTCATTATTCATAAATTACACATATACAAAGAAAAGTATTTTGTTAAATGTTACCAATGGTCATGTATTCTATTCAGGAGAACTGCACTATTAACAATAATGAGATTTACATACTCTACATGGTAGCCATCTCTAAACTAGAGATGTATTAATCAGTGGCCTCATTAAAATTCATACAGCGCTTTGTTCTACTCTGCTCCTTCATCTTTAAAAAGCTTATTCTCTGACCTCACACTCAAAATCACCACACTAACATGAGTGGCACAAAGAACGAAAGGCTTGATACACTAGAGAGCCAAAGATGAAAACACTAGGAATCCAAATACACCCTAAAAAAATGTTAAAACTCATTAGCCGTTAGCTGAGAACAGCAGTCTGTGCAAAAAAAAAAAAAGATCAAACCAAATCAAACAGAAAATACAGTCGCATTACAGTGTCATCATTTAGTTGATAATATTAAAATTGTCCAGCATATATACATACACATATACATACATACATACATATACACATATATGTGTGTATATATATATATATATATATATATATACACACATATATGTGTATATATATATATATATATATATATATATATATATACATATATATATATACATACACATATACACACACACACATATATAAATATACACATATACACACACACACATATACACACACACACACACATACATACATACATACATACATACATACATACATACATACATACATACATACATACATACATACATATATATATATATATATATATATATATATATATATATATATATATATATATTCAAGGATGGTAAGCTTGTGTTCCACTCTTTGACAAAACAGTCAACCTCTGTGATTGAGGCAGGTTGTTTTTATAGAAAGTGTTTTATTAAACCAACAAAGAGCGCAGGACATATGTTCCCATCATTAACAAACAAAACAAACAAAAGCTATCTGGGTGAATCAGAGTAGTCTGACCCTACGATGATCCAAACTTCGCAATTAGTCATTACTTTTACCAGCATTAGCATGCTTCAAAGTGCCAGCCACTTGGTACTTCCTGACACAGCCAAATTTCTGGGTGCCTAATTAACTCCAGAGCTAATTCTATGGTGAATGAACAGCTTTAACAACCAAGGTCAAGTAAGCTAGGCATGAGCAAAACTGGTCTCAGCAGTTGCACATCACGAGGCACTGTTGCACTCATTCACACAGTTTTACATGGTAGAGATCAACCAATCTGACCAGAGCTACTGAACATAAACATACACTCGCTCGCTCACTCGCGTGCACACACAGAGTCATGAAGAAAAATGACCAAGGGAAATTCAACATTAAAATAAGATCAAACATACACACTCACATTCTCATTCACACCACCTGCACAGAAAGTTAAGAATTTCAATCCAAAGAGAGTCACTCCATATTTGCTTCAACTGAAAAAATAAAGCCCGTTTTTGATTTGTGGGTTTTGGCCAGTAAGAAAGCGGAAGGCGGGGACTGTTCTGCTGAGGCTTTTCAGAGTTGGGGCTGTGTTTGTGACATCACTATCGGGGGTGGAGCCTGAGGAGGTCAGGACAGATGGCACAGACATCGTGTTGAGTCGTTTCAGTCCCAGCCAAAAAGGAGAGAGAGAGGGAAGGAGAAAAGAACGTGTTGACACACTCCCTCCATTTATCCATCCGTCCACCACATCTACGAGGGCGAGAATTTTTTGGCTTGTGCTCGGACTCTCTTCTCGTACTCCACTCTGTTCTGACTGAAAACACAAAGTCACACAGTGAAAAACACATCATTACACTCACCTAGATCAGAGCTACTACTGTCAGAAGTTGAGGCTGTGTCTAAATTCGCTCACCAGACCTGTATGTAGCGAATACAACTTTGGATGCTGGCTAGGTCCCTGATAGCAGAAACACTTGGACACTGACAATTACGTGTGACACAAATATGGAGACAGCAGGAGACAGTACACAGTGATGTAGTACCAGCAACACTGACCGGTAAGCTCACTTACCGTGTTGCAAAAATTCTGAATTAAAATTTTAGCTACTAAAAAACTGATAATGACAAAGTGTGAAAGTTTTTCAAGGCCGAGAGACAAGCGAGAAACCACATGGTGCATTATGGGAACTTTGAGGGAACGAAAGTTCCACTGCACTTCAACGATTTTGACAATGGGATAACCTAGAAAATGTCCAATTCATTGGGCAGTCCCCTAACTACTTTGACTTCACTTGAAGCCAGGTGTATATATATAAAAATGGAATCTAGCGAAAGTATCTAGTGAAACATACCAATGCAAGGTGGGAACAAGCAATATGTATGTGTGTCTCACCAGTATATGGTATAGGCCTCAGCCTGGGCTGGATCCTGAATGTTAGGCTCATTTAAAAGCTCCTGGATGCCCAACAAAATCTATAAAAAGGAGAAACACACTTGAAATAATTCAACAAGACTCGATTGGAAGTCATACATGAGTTCAGTGCTCATATTCACATGCCATATACATTTGCCAGTTTATCACCTACACCTATCCTATGTCCTGTCCTCCTTGTTTGGCCTTTAGAACAGCACTGAATTGCCTGGGCATGAATTCTACAATTATGTAGAATAATTATGAAGTGCATTATGAAGTGTCCATCCCTCTGTGGATAATTTATAGCCATGAGGGGACAAACTTCGTCAGTAATGATGTTGAGATACACTAGAGCAATCAGACACACCCACACCTCAAAAGTACAGTTTTGATGTTCAGAGCGGCACTTCCTCCTTCTTCACTGACAACACTGCCACATGTCACAGTCTTTGACTGTTGTAGCCCATTCGAGACAGTCTGATAAGTGGTACTTAAAGGAAATTCTGAATATCACTGTTGCACTGTGTGATTAGCCTGGTTGTGCCTTGTCGCATGAGTCTAAACATTCTTCTTTAACTACTCTGATCCACAAGCTGATTTTGTCCACAGGACGGCCAGCCCGCACCATTCTCAGTGCAAATTATCATGCTATGTTCAAACTGACAAATGCCACTTGTCTTACAGATTTTAACACTCACCCAAAGTTTTCAAAGTTTCAAAGTTTTCAGTCATTCAAGTCATTAAACTATCAAGTAGTAGGGATTCAAAAAGACTGGAACTGGAAGATGCTTTACCACATTCCTCACCTTTTAAACCTCAGTGGCTGACTCACATCTGCAATATCATGAAACTTACTGTTGCCAATATAACCCCACCAAATTTGTCTGCTTAGATAGACTGCTGCATCCTGACTTGAGGAGAGAGGCCTCGAATTTGGGCCATGCAATTGTTTTTGTGTCCCTTACGAATAAATAAAGTTCCTTCAGAATATACTAGTTGGTATAAGCGGGTTCCCAAGCTTCTGTCTTCTTTTATTACTATGGCAGTCTTAAAAGGCCAGCTTGCTATCTTGTATGTTCTCCCATGTGAATGTGATGTAGCTGCCCGTTTGGTGTGCTCAGTGAAAGCTTGCACCTCCAGGACTCCTGGATCTTGAGTGCATAATGTTCATCACTACAGAAAATACCTTAGTTCTACACAACATATTTGGGAGACAATACTGCAATAACAGTGCAGAAATAGAGAGGACAGCGAGAAAACTAGCTGACTACAACATCTGCCTATGATTCAACCTTACATACACACATCACAGGCTCACTCTTAACGGTCTATGCATGGTTTCCACTGTACAAAGGTCTATGTTGCAGAAATGTGCATGTTACCTGTTTGATTGTGATAGCAGGTCTCCAGTCTTTGTCCTCCTCTAGAATGGAGAGACAGACGGTTCCTGATGGGTACACATTAGGATGAAACAGAGGAGGCTCGAATTTACCTGAGAACAGATAAAAGAGCAGAGATGTTACCAGCCACTACTTATTTGCACTGTTCTAGAAGTGGACGAAAATTATAACGGTGTGTAATTTTGAAACACCCACAAAAACCACAATCTTTCTTTAAAATTTTTTATATCTGTTATTTCTAGAGGGACCCAACGCTACAAGCAAGTATGTTCATATTTTCAGCTGTGAAGAGCATACCATGAATACTGTGGGAAGCAAAAATTTTGTGGACATTTGTTAAACATACATTTCGGTGGTGATGAAGGGTAGTCATCTTTGAAGAGCATCCTTAACTTAAACAGACCTCCCTCCCAAGGAGTCTACAAGTGAAACAAATAAAAACATGGTGGAGACAGAGAGAAACATTTTATACAGTGTACAGGGTTTTAGTACTTGTAAAATACCTAGTAAACAAGTGAGCCTTACCCCCTTTTTCCCTGGAATGGCACATTCCCAGTTCATCAGATTCATCGTACCATCAGGATTCTTGGTTGGCACAGCAACAAAGCCCTAGAACAGACCATTAAAATAAGGCTCATTTCTGAATAATGAATGCATGAGTTTACTGTTTTCACAGCAAATACGTAAGTGTCCTGTAAGGATGACTACCAAGCCAAATTAGAATTCAATTACACTGATACTCTGACAGTATCACTTCCACAAACAAGTAAATTGGCTATGCTATCATGCTATAAACTGTCTTCACTAGTTCTATTTTTCCATTGCAAAAGGCCAAGACAAATCTATAGTCAGCAACAATAACACCTTTGTGCTTTTTCCTCATTGCTTCTTTATGAAACTGCCTCTTTCCTAACTCTGTGCTTTCCAGTAAAGCTGGTGCCTAGCTGTTACGTACTGTGGATGTTTTGATATAATTGTTTCTTAATGCTGATGCAAAGCATTAATGCTGTAAGTGATTACCTACACTGATATAACAAATGTGAGGGTAAAGTTTGTGCACTTATATACACAAGGCATTGCTTACCTTTCCCAAACTACACTTTTACATACTTTTAGTAATGTATGCCTTATAGGCATATAATTTAGCAGGCTAGAGGCAAAGCTTTGCAGCTATGCACCAGCAAAAAGTCACTGAGGTAGTGAGAGAGCAAGGGATTTAAACTGTTTGATATTAGTGCATTATATGTACACTTTCATGCACTACCAGTGAGAACAATTCAATTTCTATTCTCAATAAGCAATGCTTTGCTCTTGCATTAGCACTATATATGAATATGAAACTCGATGTTATCACCTCAATATGACTTATAAATATAATCTATCCAAACTTATTCCTTTAATTTGTTCATGAGTACCCCAAGATTTGAGTTTTTTAATAGTCATTTTAACAGATAATAGATTTTGAGTTGTTCAACAGTCACATACATACATAGATAGACACTCACAAAAGGGTGGTCTTTCCTCCATGCTTTACGCTCTTGTGCCAGTCGACTGAGAGCAATGCCAGACATGACTACTGATTCTATGGGGAAGAGAGGAAGTCAGACACATTTTACGTTACAATATACTATACTCAATTTTATTAGTAATAATAATAATAATAATAATAATAATAATAATAATGATAATGATGTTTTTTATGTAATGAATAAAATCAAAACTCTAATTGAGCAATTTTCAAGAAACCATCAACAGCAGAAAATGTGACAAACCACAAACTGCCAAACAGACTCATAAGATTTCACCAACAACATACAGAAATTGAGCGAGGTTTCTACGTCCACCCCAACCTACAAGGGTGTAATTCTTTTGGTTGTGATACTAATTACAGTTTTAGTTACGTAATATGTAACAATGTCCTTATAATCGTTCTCAACACGAGCACTGCTTATATTGCAATGATGTTTAACAAGATATATCGAGAGACGCCCTCCAACTATATACAGCTATATTTAAAGTAGAAACCTACCATGAGTAAAACATGTTAAAATGGATCAACCAGTGTAAAATTTACTGGCCAATCAGCATCAACTGATTAAAATATAGGAACAGCACCTGCAGTAGAGTACCGAGACCGAAAACGTTTTCGAACACAGGACTTGAAGGCCTTGCTACGTTACCTGGCGACTTATAACTAATGGAATGGCACCCATATAGACACTTATTTAAAAATATTCAGTCACGCTAAATTGTGATATTTAGTCACCCAAAAGTTCCACATAATTAAATGGTTAAGATGTAAAGTTGACTCAGAGTGGGTTAATGTGAAGTGCTCCGTTTAAGAGAAACTTAGAACCAAAATTATAAACGCAGGCGACACGTGTAGGTTCACTGGTCGTTTCGGACATTAAATAAAATGTCTGTTTTTGCGTTGTAGACATGGTGACCCCTGGTCTCCATCACCACCACCATAAAGAAATCTGAGTCTGTAAGTTTCTCTAGAGCGGACCACTTCATATCAAAACACTCTGAATGACTGTTTACATCGCAACGACGGAATTATGCAAAACTGTGGAAAAATCGGTGGAGTTACCCTTTTAACGTGAGGAATACGTTTGCACTACTACTACTAGTGGATAACAGACCCGACTCAAAGTTTTAGTTTATGCGCGTTCTCTCTAAAACGTATCTAACTACAATTCAATCAGCCATCGTCCCGTCAGAGAGCTGACACCAAAACAGCCCTCTCATCCAGAGACACTGGACACAGCAGTCTACACGCCTGTATACCGGCGTAGATGGATGATTTCACTCCCCTACTAAATATCCCATAATAATAATAATAATATAATAATAATAATAATAATAAGAAGAAGAAGAAGAAGAAGAAATACTGTTATTAGAAATAGTAGTAGGATTAGTATCATAATTAGCTACAATAATAAAATGACGTTGCACGGTGTCGCCGGTTGTCCAAAACTTGTGAATTTGAGATGCGTTAACTGTAACGTTACTTATGGATCTAAACTCCCGAGCGGCGGCGTTTAGGCATAAAAACTGAAATAACGGTAGTTCAGCACTCCTGAAGAACAGCCACGCTCGTGGAAATGCCATAAGAGGGTTTTCTACACAGCCGCGACCTGACTGTGAAGCTTATAGCGACCAAACCTCTCAGAAAACCAAAGCGGAGAAGTTAGCTTAGATGTCGGTAACGCTGGGGCCGTTACGCCGAACGTTACATTCAAACGAGGCTGGAACGCCACTCGCGACCGCGCGGGACAAAGAAACGAGTTCTGACGCTCACGCGCGCTCACGCGGCCGAAGCACGAAACGTTAAAAAGAAACAAAAACCAACAAATAAAAAAACAAAAAATACGAAACAAGCGCACGCGACGGACGAAGCTAAAGTCAGCTTCTTGTTCGAATTTTCCCGGTCCACCTTAAATGGTGCAGCAGTTACATTCTGGCGCCTCAGGCCTCAGTCGCCAGAACGTAGCTGCTGCACCATTTAAGGTGGAACGGGAAAAATCGGAACACTTAGCTGGCGCATAAGAAGCCGACTTCAGCTTCGTTCGCGACCGTTTCTTAAAGAAAAGAAAACAAAATTGGATCGGTTGTGAACCATCTTACCGTTGCGTGTCTTTCCAGATTCTTCGACTAGAACCGTGCCAGACTCGGGACAAAATTTATAAAAAATAAAAAATAAACCCGGTCAGTTTTTTTTTTCCTCCCGAAAGGCATCCGTTCCTAACCGGACTAAATTAGGACCACTGGTCACACACTTCTGTCGCCTGAGACTAACACTAACATACTTTTTCTGACGCGTTATTCGTTATTTGTACCCTTAGCCAAGTAGACCACCTAAATATATTTAAAATATGATGAAGCGTAGCGTATTCATGTGTAATTCGTTGCTTTTCCGTTTGCTACAGACATTTTGTACAGGCATGTGCGCAGTCAGCTAATGATTTAAAGGAGCCGCACACACGAAACAAATAAGTTACATACACATTGTACAAGAAAAGGCGAATATAATGTTTTAAATTTAGATGTTTAATTTTTTTGTATAAGATATCAGACTGGCTCGTCGTTTTAATCCTTTGACATCGGCAGAGAACGCCTTAATCACTATGGCAACGCTCAGCCAAAGCGTATGTTAGCGAGCACTACGGCAGAGGTCGCCAAAGAGCTTCAGGACTGACGGACCAAACCATTTGGGGGGGCGCTTTGCTCAGTTCATCCTGCAAGGCATGTACTTCAAGAAGTTCGTGTAGGGACACAATAAAATAGCTCCACATTGATAAAGAAGAAACACACAGAGACAGAGAAGTGTTTGTTAAAAACCGGTTTATAGCATAACAGTCTGTGTACAGCAAGTGTAAGAGTGACAGCTCGTATATATGTGCTGTGCAATTCTTCGGGGTCCACATGTGAGTCAGCAGAAACTTAAGTCCATCACTCACAGTGTGAAAGTTTTTATACACAATTAAGATTCTATAGGAGTACAGGATCAGTTTTCTGGATATTACAGCAAGTACATTAAAATGATCCAAAATAAGTTGGAGTATCTAAAGTGGTGTATCGGACAGCTGGAGTGCGGGTATCAGATGATTGTCTGCTCTCCTTGCTTTATTTTCTACAAACGTTTTTCTCCCTTATTTTCCTCTATTGATAAGATGCAGCAAGTATTGTCACTTAGTAAATGGGTAACCAAATTCTACAAACATCTTTGAATGTATAACAATAATAATAATAATAATAACAGAATTATTACAACTTTGAACTGGAAATATTCGTAGAGTACAATTAATATATTTTACTATTATTAATATTTATTATTAACAGTAGTAGTGGTATTACTACCACATTTTTTGGAATCATGAGAATACACTGGTAAACCTGAGGACACACCTCTCTTGGTGTAAAGGCTGAACTGGAATGCAGTTGAATCAGTTCCCCAAAGGGCTCTCCAAATCATGGATTAATCTAAACTTGAGACTTCTCTCCATAATAAACATTAGTTTATGAAATGTGGCATTCAAACGTGGGTTTTACTGGATAGAGGGCTACAGCAATAAAGCTACGGAAGGCTGGATTAGCGGCCAGAGAGAGAACTGATTGTGTTTGCTTTTTCCACATTTGGATCAGATCCCTGAGATTTAGATCAGTCATGTTTTCCTCCTTTACAGCGCAGAATCACTATAAGCTAAAAGTGCAGTTAAAGCCACTTCTATCAAAATTAAATATAGTTTAAAGGCTTGCACAGTGATTTTGGAATGTTTGTTATGTTTTCAACATGTCCTTTTTATATGTCTCCTACATATTTCCTACAGATATGACAGTTCTACTAAAAAGTCTGTGGTACGCTATGAGTTTTTTTTTTTTAAATGAGTGACTGTTGTGCCATCTTAGGCCGTGAAATAATCTGAAATAACTGACAATTCTCTACCAAATCTGACTCCCCTAGAATACTGAAACCACAGGGCAAGGTCAAAATCACTGTGCAGGGCCTTTCATTTTTTAAAAAATATGCTGCATATAGAGACTTGACTACAGTAGACCAGCTCAGTGCTGGCGTGCTCATGTGTGGTTCGTGCATTCTTCATGCGCAGTCTGCGCATTCTAAGAGGTTTGGAGTGTCGGTATCCGTGGCCATGCTACATGTTTTGAACATGCTCGTGGAATGTTCCGGTTCATGTGCTGATACGTTTGAATGCTTGGGCATTTCAGAAGCTCATATTCTAGACCCTCGCTCCTGAAGAATCTGAAAGATAAACAATTTAACAACCAGTTAAATCAGAAACACAACAGGAAACACTACATGTGCATACACATACAGACACATATCATTTTGTAAAACTACCTTTGCATTCCATTGACTTTTAAAGCTGAATAATGCTATGTCTAAAACAAAACCTAGCCCTAACCTTATCCTCAGTAATCTAGTGTGAATCCGAGGCAGTTTTCTAACATTTGGAGGCCCAAAGCAATACTCTACATGGGGGCCAGAGACCTACCCCAATTTATAATTCAAATATTTTTATCAGGAAAAAGTTCAATAAGCGATAAGGTAGCCTTGCAGGGCCAGATGCGATCCTGTAATGAAATATGTCTGGGGATAATTTAGTTAAAAATTTTTTGCCAGATTGCAGCGAAATCAGCCACTAACAAGGGTACACCTCCTTTAAAACCTGGGCCCAAATTCGTCTAGTTTGTGCTCCTTTTACATTCGCAGTAAAATTGATAACACAATCATCACAATGCTACTGTTAGCTAGTGTGCATCCTTCAAAATGAATGTTTCAGGAACACCTTCAATTAGGCTGTCAGAGGTGAGCTTGATGCACAAAATCCATTCCATGAAACCCCCTATTCGATAATTTTTGAAGACAGTAACTCAGGAAAAAAGAGATGTCTTGATTTGTTTGCCAACAGGTTAGGATAAAAGTTTAGTTCACCAAGCCTGGCCAGCTGTTCACAACTTGATGTTTAAAACACATCAATGTATGGTCTTGGTCATACAGTCCATAATAGAGGACCTTTTTAAAAAGTAACTACACCCTAAGACCTTTTTCTCATTAATAGCTGAAATGAGTTGTTATTGTTTATGTAATCATAAAACATACCAGCCTTGCTTAAGATATGAACACAACTTTCCAAACGGTAAAAATATCATTTTTATCATGGTCAGTTCCACCTCTGCAGTGCCCCTCTGGTTCAACTCTGCTATAGGCGCGGATGACGTGTCTTCGTACCAAAGTACCATGACACGTTACAGTATGCAAATCAGTCAAACAACGTTACTGCCCCCCGCCGATGACGCCCTACTCGTGCACTCATAAACATGAAAGCATAGGACCGGTTAAGTGAGGATTCTTGCGAGTCTCCATAAAGCTGCCATCCGATTCACGTTTCCCTCCACAACTCAAAATCTCGGACGCTGCACTCACTGTATAGAAATCAACAGCAAGCAACACTGGAACTACGGAAAGCAAAACGATTCAGGAAAGGTTAACGTTAAATGGCAGACTGTGGCAACCTTTCGTCCGTACAGCCTTTCTCTAACTTTTGTCTCGCTTTCCATACGATTTATGAAGGGAAATGTGAATTTGAGTGGGAACTGAATCGGACTGAAATAGCTTGCGAAACGTAAGGATTTAGGGCCACTGCAGCAAACCCTGGCTGACCGGTGATGCAGTCTGTGACCTTGATGTCAAACTGAATGAAACTTACACAGTGTTCAAAAAATCCACTTCATTAATTGGGGATTCAGTGCATCTAACAAATCAGGACTCTGGTTATATAGAATATAAAACTGCTGATCAGACAATGTTGTCGAGTTCACATCCCCTACTTTGAGCTCTGCCATTGCGAGGCTTTAGATTGGTTTAGAAATTTCATGCTCAGGTTATTCCCACCCCAATAGGTCTATGTTCTCTCTCTGATTATACCCAAACATTCTTATTAAGGGATCACATCTGGCTCTGTGAGACTTAGGTAGGGGGAATACAACAATACGTAACATAAACCGAACAAATACTACACAAGCCACTGCTCCCTAAGCAACTGCTTAGATAGCTTATAGCAAGAAACAGCTCTGAGGAAATCTTTTTTTTCCCTTTCTGGTGTGGTGTCTGACATCCCTGTCCTGATTTCACTTCCCTTGGTTTCCGGTCATGATTTTCGCAGTGTTACTGGATGTATCATACATATCACAGCTGTCAATCAACAACTCCTCAAAAGGAACTTCAAAAGGCATAGATAGATATGTATGTGCCTGACTTTTTGTGAACTTGAAAATATTCGTAATCAAATGCAACAAAGCAAAGTGTTTTATATTAAGGAGTTTTATATTAAACTGCGATGGCTTGCATGATAATTAAAACATGCTAACTTGCTTGCTCTGGCCAAGGGTCCTGAAATCAGGACGGGGATGCGAGATTGGGATTTATACCTGAAAAGTTGGGACATTTTGTAAAATGCAGTAAAAACAAAAATCTGTTTTAATCTTGAATTAATTTAACTGACAGAAGTATATTTTATATTTTTATAATATTTTTGCTGACCAACTTTGTATTTTGTATTGATTGTATTTTATAAATATAATCAAATTTTGAATTTGATGCCTGCAACACACTCAAAAAAGTTGGGACGGGACAAAATAAAAAGTGAAAAGTTAATACTAAATATTAAAGTTACACCGTTTTGAAACAGTTGCATCACTGAAGTCTTAAATCAAGCAAGAATGGGCAAATATTTCACTTGCAAAACTGCTAGTGTCCCCAGTTCCTAAATGATTAAGAAGTGTAATTAAAAGGAAAGTTGATTAAAAACGATGGTAAACATGCCTCTGTCTCAACTGTGTAGAATATGTTACAAGCATAAAATTCTAAATTTGTTTAAAGAAATCAGCAAATCACAGATTCTTGTTTTTATTGTATTTTACAAATTATGCCAACTTTTCCAAAAATGGTGTTTGTGTAGGTGCCATATAGGTGCACTTTATAGTTCTACAATTACAGACTAAAGTCCATCTGTTTCTCTGCTAACTTTGTTAGTCCCCTTTTACCCTGTTCTTGAATGGTCAGGACAGCATCCTGTGACCACTGATTCAGGACTAGAGGATGACCAGCAGAAACTGTCCAGCAATACAGCTATCGTCTCTGACTTTACATCTACAAGGCTACAATATAGTGGAAAATGAGTGGACACAATGTTTAAAAGCCCCAGCAGCACTGCTGTGTCTGATCCACTCATACCAGCACAACATACACTACCCCATCACCATCACAACAGTCTCACTGCAGTGCTGAGAATGATCCACCACCCAAATAATACCTGCTCTGTGGTCCTGTGGGGGTCCTGATCACTGAAGAACAGACTAAAGGGGGCTAACAAAGCATGCAGAGAAACAGACAGACTACAGTCTGTAATTGTAGAACTACAAAGTGCACCTCTATGGTTAGTGGAGCTGATAAAACGGACAATAAGTGTAGATACAAGAAGGTGGTTTTAGTGTTATGGCTAATCACTGCATATTTTTTCCTGTTGGGACCAGCCAAATGTCCTCACATTGACGAAACAGTTTTCCTATCATTATGAAGACATTTGGTCTCACAAAGGGCTACAAAAACAACAACGGCACTTACCTTGGCTTTCTCACTTGGTTGGCTGTTGTTACCATATGACTGGTTATGAAGTTCCTTGGAGACAACACACAGGAACTCTGCCTGGTCCTCGCTACCATAGTTATAGGAGGAACCGATGTTGACCAGCTACACACACACACAAATAAATAAGGACAAATTCAATCCGTTGCATTTTCTGACTGTCAAGTTGATTAATATGCTGCTGCTGGAAAAACAGTGTAAAACAAGACCTAATAAACAGTGAAAGGTAAACACACATATATACACATTCACACACACACACACACACGCACACACATACACACACACAAACAGTGCTCTGTGATGATGGCAACATGCTTGGACATGCCCAGGTTGCGTGACTGAGGCCTTGATGTTTCACAAAAACAGCAACATAATTGCACATATACACTTATGCAGTACTGCGCAAAAGTCAGAGATCACCCTTTATTTACTTAATTTCTAGTCAGAATGGCCATTAAATACAAGTTATATTTAACAGAACATTACACAGAATAGCGGTAATAATATCAGTTCTAGATTTTCAAAGAAATCTGCTTTCATATTTTTCACACCTCCAAACTTCAGCCTCAAAGGTTTGTTTCATTTTCTGCTTCCCACAGTCAAAGTAATCCCAAACACATTCAGTGTTGTTGAGGTCTGGGCTCTGGGGTGGTCAGTTCATTATTCTGAGAACACCAGCAGCTTCTTTGTTTGACAGCTACACATCCTTTCAGACTCATAGTGTTGAGTTGGCTTCTCACAGTGGAAGGAAACAGAAACACCTATGGACTTGCTTAGATCTGAAGCAAGAGTGGAGCTTGAATTTCTCTTCTCTCTCAAAGATGAAAGCTTTAAGCACTGTACCAGGTCTTACGTGGTTGTTAGGAGTCCCATTTTTTCCCACCTTTTAATCATTTTTTTTCATTATGCAAGAGGAGCTTATATCTAACCTCAGAAATGTCTTCTGAAAAAGGACTAACTTGTACTTACTGATTGTTTTCACTGGATATCTAAATAAATGAAGGGTGCTATCTGACTTCTGCACAGTACTGTACCCACACTCATTCACAGAACATGCGTGCACATACATGCTCAATGAAGACACATTTACACATGTATACAACACAGCCACCAATAACATGATCATGGCGACAAAAGAAAACAAGAAAAAAAAAACTCAGAAGTAGCTGGTGGGCATGGATGGGTCATGCAGTGAATGGCAGGAGGACACATAGTAGGATTCTGCGACACACCTCTCCGCTGTGGGCAAGGTGAGTTTGACTTGACTCCTCCCCCTTCACTTCCCGAGACACAATCAGGAGAAACTCTGACTTCTGTGCCCGCCCATAACCTACACTGACAAGCTGGAAGAACCAATCAGAGCACAGGGCGGGGCCCGCGTCACACACTGCTCTTCAGCCAGACCCGAGCAAGCGACTGCTGCAAAGATGGAGGGGTGAGCGAATGTGTACGAACCATCTCTCTCACCTGCTCAAACTTCCAGCCGTCCGACATGGTGGAAACCATCTGAGTGAGCTCCTCCTCCTGACACTGCAACACTCTGTAGACGTGCTTCACCGGAGTCTGGAGAGAGAGGGAGACAGAAAGAAGAAGACAGAAGGTGAAAGAGTCAGAGAGAGAGAGAGAGAGATATAGAGGGAGGGGGTGATTCAGTCATTGCTGAAGATTAGCTGGATGTGGATGATGACTACAGTCGTACGCAAAAGTTTGAGCACCCCACTTCAAATGACATGTTTTGTTGATTTTCTATGTGAAAATGAGTTAATGCATGCTCTACATGGAACAAACTTAAATATGGCATTTCTCTGCAAATTTTAGTGAATAATTTCTATTTATTTGCTGAGTTTAAAATATTAACATAAAACATAAAACACAAAACATAAAATGTGCCACAAGTTTTGCACAGGCCACATTTTGTGTTTCATTTTTTTCTAATATGTTAAATTCAGCAAATGAACAGTAATTGTGTATTAAAATGTGCAGAAGTGTGTTCTCTGTAGAGGACGTGATAATTCACATTCAAATGAAAAAGCAACAAAGCGTCATTTGATGTTCAAACTTTTGCATGTGAGTGTATATGTAGGCTGCTAATAGGTACACTATATAACCAGATGAAGACATGCATGACTTCTGAAATACAGACAAGTTTCCATTGGAGGGATTTTATTCAATGGAATCATTTGCAATCATTTTACAAATACCGAATCATCAGCTCATCTTATAAATTGTTTGTCGATGTTTGAAATGTGAAAAAAATATTGTGGACAGGCAAGAAAATGTAATTAATCATAAACTTAGTGTATGTGACAGGATTTCCATCAATATTGCCGACTGTGGCATCAGTTAGGACATAAAAATATGATATAGAATATTAATGCATTTTCTACATATTCTTTCCATTTGTTCACCCTTATCAGTAATCTGTGGAAGTCAAAGTGTGCACAATTTGTATCATACATGAAATTCTTGACGAACACCCGTCAAACAGCTTTTACTCAATAAACCATGTGATGGCAGGTATTTTTCCTGGAAATGACATAATTACAGCAATCATTTTCTCGCTAAAAGTCATCGTAATGGAAACAAGCTGCTGACAGAAAAGTTTGCAAATTTATAATGCATTTTCATTAAGCGCAACTTGGTGAAAGCCTGGCTTCTGTGAGTGTGTAGGTCTACTCACATGTGTAACCTTGGCATCCCGTTCCCTAATCTTTTCCTTGCAGAGTTTAATTAATGATGTGATGTTGTAGAACTCCGCCTCTTCAAGAGCCCCTGCAACACACACAAACACAAAGCTGCTCGGTAACCCAAAAAATAAATGTAGGCAAATTTATAGGTACAGTGGGGTTACATGATCATTACATGCTGTTTAAAGTAATTAAAGTCATTATTATCTTTTTAAGAAGCTGGTATGATGCAAAGAGATGTCAGATGATTCCATTTTCTTTTCTGTATTCTAGCTAATTTATTTTGTAACAGCTGCAGTTCATTCAAACTCAAAGTGAAAGCGCTTTTTCTAACAGGCACTGTCACAAAACAGCTTTACAGAATTCCAGCTCCGAGCCTCAAGCAAGGGTAAGAAAAGTCAAGGGTAAGAAAAGCTGTCTTAGATCAAGAGGAAGAAACCTCAAGAGGAACCAAGACTCAAAGGGTGAACCCATCCACCAGACAGTAAAACAATAACACAACATATGAATAAAGAATATGATTTGACAATGATTATACAGTGGTGAATATGGAATAAAGAAAGGAGCCTGTCACTGGACCTAAATGTTCATATTAACCAATAATAACCAAGGACTACTGAAACAGATCTATAAACCCCAATGACTGCTGTTAGAAGCCTGTCAGGATGACATGTTAATATGAATATGTAAAGAACTCAGTATAGTAAGACGCAGCTGAACAAAATGGTGACCTGTTAACATCTCTGTACAAAGACATCTTTTAATAAAACCCAGCTTTCTCCTTACAAGCGTACGACTCTAATTTATTCTCAATAACTTGTACAATGACTCCATAAGTGAACAAATGTCAAAGATGGAATAGTTCTAAAAAAAAAAACAGCATCGCACAGAGCGACATAAGCTGGACTCAGGTACAAAGTGTTTTAGTACTGTTAATTTGTGTTTCAAAGCTTGAATATGTGTGTGTGTTTGTGTGTCGTACCTTCTTCTGTCAGATTTTTGTTGAGGACCAGCTTTCCATGTCGCAGATAATTCAGCACAGGCCCAAAATACACTGGATCCCTGTCGATCAAATATGCTCCTGATTCATCCTGCAGAGGAGAAAGAAGAGGTTTTACTCACATGCGCATACACACATTAAATTTTTAACCTGCAGCACAGAACACAGCACATTTAAAGCCATGGATAAGGGAAATGGGGCTGCTGATGGGGCCGTAGCACCCCCAAATTTCAGAACTGTTTAACCGTACCTGATAATCACAATCACAAAAAAATATTTTAATTACAGTAAAGACCCATGTGTGCTTTTTGTAGGGTAAATATTACATTTTTATATTTTTATTTTACTTTATCAATGTTCAGTAAAAATTCTGCTTTAAGGCATGTCAATAAAAAAAGCATGATTCTAGTTCTGAATGCTGAGGTGGCCTAATATTTTTTTTAAAACCACAACTGTAATGATCTCACGTTGGACATGTGTGTGCTTGACTTTGGGCGTGAGCCAAGTGGTTTCCACACCTCATATCAATAATCAGATTAGTCGATGCTCTGCTCATTTGCTTAAACTTTGTCCAGTAACAGGGCAGAGACAGCAGGACGAGCATCAGCATTTGCTGTGTCAGTCATACAGTACTGTTCAAAAGTATTACACACTGAAGGACATTGTTTAGAACCATTTAACTTCACAATAATTGTGTTTTTGCTTCTAAAAATATCACATATCATCAGTATAAATGAAAAAAAAAACATAAATACAATAAAAAGCAACAATAAGTAACTGACCAGCCAATGTTGCTTTTGCATTTGAGACCTAAACATCAAGCCAGACCTTCTTTCTGGGCCTATGTGTTGATGTTAATACATAAAGATGTATGATGCAGATCGAAAAACCGACCCGACCCGACACCTCTGACTTTCAAATTATCATTCACAGGGTAGCATCGCGCGCGCACTCACACACCATATTTTGGCCTGTTTTTATTTCTCCCGACTCAGTAATGCTACTTCTCTCAGTTTTAACAAGAAAAATCTTACATAGTTGTTCTTTAAAACTGCATCCTTGGTTAAAATCTTCCTGCATGTACATTAAAAAATAAAATAAAAAAAAACACTTGACAGAAAAAAGCTAGGGACATAAAGGAATTGTGGCAGTGCCAATATCCAATATTCTTATATACATACACTGCAGATTCCAAAGGTCTGAGACCACACTGAGAATTTGGGATTTTTTTACATTTAAACTTGGAAATAAACAATTTACCATTGTGAGAAATTTAAAACAAAAAGTTACGACAAGTAAAATGAAAATGAAATACTTAAGATTCTGCACTGTTTCTAGGTCACTATTCAAATTTAAGTAATTTTGTGACGTTGCCCATGTTGAGACAAAAAGGTCCGTTTTTTTAGTCCATTTTGTGTTCAGGTGACTCTCAGGTGGATTTGATCAGCTCATCAGAGGCTTCAGCACAAACTTGCGGAGCTGAGTGCACACTGTCATTAAAGCAAAAGAAGAACATATTAAATATTTAAAAATTAATGTTAAAATTTTAAAGATTCTTCTTTCATCCAAATTGTTATGCTGATTTGTAATGAAAATCTTTCTATGAAATTTGAAAGGAATGCAAAATAGAAGCAGTCTCACCAGTGGTCTTAGACTTTTGGATGCCACTGTATACATGCCAACACCTAAACATTTACAGAGTAGAAATAGAGATTACATCCAACTGGATTAGCATTACAGAGAAGTGTAACATTTATGTCTATAGAGTTAGAAATACAGTACAATTAATAAACAATATTTCAGCACAATAGCCCAGCTTGTCCAAAACATTCTGCTCCTCCAGAATACAATAAATACATCAAATATCGTTTTGAAATCAGTCAAATCAAGCTGACCAATACTGTTTTTTTTAAATGCAACAATCAGCAGATATCAAGATGATTCCAATATCACTGAACAAACACAAAAGTATTCAAGTACTTTATAAGTCAAGTATTAATGACGAGCATGAGTGTGGTATGAGAGGTAACAGTGTGTAAGTGTATGCATGTAAATAAATGGATCTGTTGCCCTTATAATTTCAATAAAAAATACCAAAACGAACTAGAGCTGAAAATAGTTTTACACCTCTTGAAAACAATTCAAGCATTTACAGGATTGTATCATTAGCTAGAACAATAATTTTTCCTCACTAATACTTTTTTCACGTACTGTATATACAGTAAAATAAAGCAACACACAAATAATTAGGATTCTATAATGTGATTTCTTTTAAAACATTTTCTCTACATATAGTGAAGCATCTCATCATGAACCTGTGATGGTGCACATACTGTGAAGAATTTGTTCCTGCGTCGGTAGGAGAGTCAGTTTGAAGGAATGTGAGTTTAGAAGCAGTTAAAGATTAATGCTCAGAGTAGTGCATGTTTGCTTCAGTACACTAGCTCTCTCCTTAATGGTAGGCAGGATTCATAAATAAAACACAGACACACACACAGAGTGAAAATCTACACTCTGCACGGAAACACAGGAAGAACCACAGATGAGCTTCTAAAAGTATCTCAAAAGAATACATCAGCAAAGGAGAGGAGCCCAACAATACCAGCTGCCAAAATTACTATTAAGATTTGAAATGAGTTTTGTTTTTTTGTTTTTTTGCTGGTAGGCTCAAGTTGCTCTAGCCAACAAGGTAAATAGCAATTTTTTTGCTTCTTTTATAAAGCCTGCATATCAGTGACTAAGTTTCTGCATTTGGAGACTATACACAGACCAAGGTAAAGACTTGAGAGCTGCATAGAAAAACAAGAAACAGGAAACTAAAATAAGAAGAAGATCTTGAGCAGATTTTGAAGAAAAGCAGCTAAACAAGCATTATCACCACATTTCCAGAGTACGGCAACCATATACTGCAGAAGAAAATGTATATATTTTCTTTATCATCGAAAACCAAAAGGCCTAAAGCTTTGGTGTCAGAAGAGATGACTTCAAACATTTGCTTAAGGAAGTGCAAAATATCAGAGGATTCAAAACATACAAACTCTATGAAACATGGTGGAGGTAGCATCATGATACTCAGGTACACATGGCAGCCTTACTTACTGATATTAGCTTAGTTTCCTGATATTGGCATCATTACTAATGATGACCACAGTGTCTGGAGTAATTATGCAGAGACTTGTTCGGTGCGTAGTTGAATTGAACCATACATTGGAAAACCTGCAAGACTCATACGGCCCTATGTTGACTACTTTGGCGTTGACATATATGAGCACCCCAGTGCTGCATTATATAATTGTGTGTGTGGGGGACACTGGCTTTTGTGTGTTACTGCCTGTAGGTTGTCATGTTTCAAGCCTTGATAGTGGGCCATACCGGCACCACACACACATAAACACATAAACTATTTGTCTACCTATAAACAAACAAATAAAAAAAACATTTTTACTACTTTTTCACTGCTAAGCTAGCAGCTTATTTGCATTGACAAGTTACAGACAATTGGCACCATCATCTCTCTTGTTATTACTGTGAGGCCTACTATTCTGCTGCTTCTGGTTTTGTTTTCAGTGTACATTTCCTCTCCATCTGAGCTGTTCTTATTCTTGCTTTGACAATTTTTACTGTATTTTCTGTCATCTTTTTATATCTCCGCTCTCACCTTTGTTTTAATGGTCACTTCAATGGATTTAAGCTGAAATATTTTGTTAACTCAAAGAAAAAACCTGTGTCAAACCAAAGTTGAATTATAGTGAGTTTTGTCCTGTTTTTCTCTTCAGCGCTGCTGATTTGTGCTTAACAATTTCTTGCTGGTTCACATTATGTATTATGCAATGACAGCCTGGTTCCCCTTACTGTGGCACGTCTCTGGGCCTCTTTGGATCCTCCCTGCTGGCTCTGGTTCTAGGCACCATAAGGGGCTTCTGAAATTGTGTCATCATCTTGTAGTCAGTGCTATGCCCATATAAGGAACTCCAAGACTGAGTTGGTACATAATACATTTTGCCGTACGTACATTTTTTCCTTCAAATATCACTGGATCCTCTAAATTACAAGTTTGTTAACATGTGAAAATATGAATATTGCTACATGCCAGCTAACATATGCGGTACATTAAATGGACATCATAGGACAGACATCCTCACTAAAATATCCCACACAGACCAGCAGACTTGTCAAATGTGGTAGTTGAGTTGCTTTGCAGAAGTAGTGTAAAGTCTGAGTAGCTGGTGTTGTTATATAATACTATTAAAGTTTCATAATAGATACTTCCATGTGACATCATTTCAATACGCAGGAGCATTAGCTTGGTTATAGCATGCATGGAGTACTGTTTATATTTGAGCTCTTTAATGATCTTGTAATTCAGGGGATCCAGTGACATTTGAAGGAATCCATTAATTTTTCCATAGAGAAAAACTGCTTAAATCCAGAGTTCCTTACATGGGCATGGTATTTCAGAGCCTACTGTGTTTTGCCTAGAGCCAATACCATACCAACCCTGAATATACCCCAGTACTTATACGAACGCTAACGGCACACAGCTCAAAAATGCTATTATTCCAATTCAATTAAACAGAGCTACCCAAAAGTACCCAACAGAAAAATTCAGTATTTTTGTCTCATATTTGGCTTTCCACAAAACTGTCTTAGTGGAAAACACATGCATACACATACACACACATGCGTTAAAAAAATGCAGTGCTTAAAGTGAGTGTGTATCTCTTTTTAGTGTTAAAGGGACCAGAGAGCGAGATTATGAGGGATTGGTGTGGATTAGGGTTATTTAGAGATTACTGTGTGAGATTATGCTGTGAGAGGCGGTGAGATGACAGGAGGCGGCGCATGAGGACACACCAGTGCCTCAAACACCACGACCACGGCACCAAACGCCATGTGCCTCATTCATAAAATCTTCCCAAACCCGAGTAAATCCGCTCTTAAAATAAGTGCTTCCAAAAAAAAGCCCACAAATTCTATTCATTCATGTGTTGACCGTATCAGTCAGTGGCAAAAAATAAATCACATTACTCCAACATACTACATCCAGGCAGTGGAAGACTTAAAAGCAAAAAAAAACATAATGCTGTCTTCTTCGCCTTCACTGAATAAACACGTCTTCACAAAGTTTACAAAAGCCAAGTCTTCATTCCAAAGTGTGCGTAAACCCTGCTTTTTTACTAGAAGGGGAACTTTAAATTGCCTTGATGATTGCAGCCACTGAAACAGAAACATCTAACCTGGTCAAGGAAGAGAAGCCTGTGCCTTCTTGCTGTTCCTCAGTTAGTTACAGAACAAACTACCAACAAATTACCAAACAGGAGTGGCTCTACACTATGATTTTGTCTTGATACTTGAGGCACAGTACAATTCTATTGTGCTGTTCAAAGATTTTTAATATGTATGGCAGTATGACATGAGATACATTATGATTTACTATATCCAATATCTATATGTTTCATCTGATGATGATTACAGTTTTTTTATCTCACTTCAATCTTCTGAAGTGTGCAGTAGAAAAAGCATCACTCAAGATGTTTTTATACTTTAACAAATGTTTTAATCCAGAGAAATGTGCACTGACATGTGAACATACATTATGTTATGAATCTTGGCCAGTGACTGGTACATTAAAGTGCTGTTTCTTATTCCTGTCTGATCAGGGAATTAAACCCTGCTCTCCAGTGTGCAGGGCGAGTGTGATATCCGCTGCATTACCAGAACATTCCTAACAATAACACTGACAAGACTTTTGCTCTTACCAGAACAATGGCACCAATTCGTGAAAGAAAAAATGCATTTTGGTAAACTATTACGCTTAATACGTGCTCGAATATTAATCATCAAATAACAAAATATCCATACATTGGCCTCTGTGTGTCGACACTACATTTAAACCCAAAAAAAAAAAAATTACCCTGTACTGATTTATTTCCAATTTCACGACCTATTAGGGGTGTGCGATCCAAATTAACCAGGATCAGAATAATTTTATTTTGATTGATCCATTTTACCATTTTATGAGGTAAGTAACGTAACCCAATATGTATTTGAATGCTGTGTGTGCACGTCTGTGTGTTTTTAAGTCTTACCCACCAATTTCAAAATTGGTTCCCTCTTTTACACGTCTGGTAAAGAGTGAATAAACAATATTCCTGTCTTTTTTCGATGTAGACTTTAGTAAGAATATGAAAAATGGATGTAAACACAAGAATTATTCAAACTAATTTTAGAACATCCTAGAGATATGCACAAGTACTAGAGTACTCTGTTAACCATTCGAAGTCTCTATTCTAATACTGAAATTTCAGTATTTGCTACGTTTCATCTTGGTGAAAATCTTATCAGCATCCAATGTAACCGTGTCAGCGCATCTGAAGAGGCAGATTCTGTTACTCATCCAACATAAAAATTTCCCTTAACATGTTTTCAAATTTATTCCTCCACTGCTACCATCTGAAATGTCTACAGCTTTATGCTAATTTTGGCCAAAGTGTTTTTTTTTCCTTGTTCCTTGCATGCAAGTAACTGAATATCTGTTCACTACTTGACTGTCTAAATTTTTCTGGGAGCACAACATATGGAGTTCCAGTGGCCAGTTGCACCAGCTGTGCGTCAGTTCAAACGTAGGCTAGTTGTAACGTAAGTGTTTACTAACTTCAGGTTTATGCATTAAAAAATCAAAATGGGTTGCACCACACAAACTAGTTTTAACATTGAGCTTAGTAGTTACTAAATATTCACACCTCCCCCTGAGCAGGTGTAAGTGTTGGGGGACCATCAGAAACCACGTAGAAAGCACAAAAAACACCAAAAACATGACTTTTTGGTTAACTCAGCTGAAAATTCTAAACGCTATACACTGTGATTTTACTTAGAGCCCTAATCATCGTCCTGGTTTAAACTCTGAGCATGAAGCTAAACACCCACAGCTCCAGCTTCGTGAGACTCAGCAGCTGCCCAAGTGACTAAACTGAGGCTGCTGTTGTGCCAGTTATCCAGAAACCGTCATTTAAAAAGCTGCATATTTGTTTTTCTCAGTGAAAATATTAAAGAATAAACAGACAGTGGCTTTAGATAATTAGTTTTATTCAGTTTAACTTGTACACATTGTTCTTGTTGTCATTGTTTTCCATTGAAAAAGTAAGAGCAACTGCCGCTGCGTTTCCATGGCAGCAGGTTTACTGATTGGTTCTGAATGATGTTATAGTCATGTTAAAGTGACGCACGCATTAGTTAGTTATTACCAGTTAAGACACGACTTACGGATTTGTGGTGCAACCAAATTTAGTAAAAGGACACTCTGAAACTAACTAGTGACAACAAAGGAGTTAGTAAAGACTTTACGCCCAAACTTAAGTATAACTGAATGAAAAATAGGGGGAGGAAGAATAGAGGAAGGGGGGGAAATAGGGAAGAAGGGGGAAAAGAGAAGGAAAAAAAGAAAAAAGGGAGGGAGGAAAGGAGGAGGGATAAGAGGAGAGAAGGAGAACGGAAAAGAAAAGAGGAAGAAAAAAAGAGGGAGGAAGAGGGGGAAGGGAAAGAGGGTGGGTGGGGGGGGAAGAGAGGAGGGGAGAAAAAAAGGAAAAAGAAGAGGGGAAAAGGGAAAGAAACGGAGAGGAGGAACAAAGAAAAGAAGAGAAGAAGGAAGGATTGGATGGAGTAGGGGGGAGAAAAGAAGAAAAGAAGGGAGGGGAAGGGGGAAAAAAAAAAGGGAGTGGTGAGAGGGCAGGGGGAGGAAGAAAGGAAAGAAAGAGATAAAGTGGAAAAAAAGGGAGGAAGGGAAGAGGAAAAGAAGAGGGAAAAGAGAAAAAAGAAAGAGAAAAAAAAGAAAAGGGAAAAAAAAAAAAGGGAAAAAAGAAGGGGAGAGGGGAGGAGGGAGGAGAGAAGAAAGGGAAAAGGGAAAAAAAAAAAGAAGAGGGGGGAAAAAAGGAAAAGGAGAAAAGGAAGCAGAAGAAGGGGAAAAATGATAGAAAAGGAAAAGACAGTAAGGTAGGGGAAAGGAAAGGGGAAAGAAAAGGAGAAAGAAGAGGGAAAGGGAAGGAGTAAAAGGGAGGAAAAAAAGGGAAAAGGGAAAGAAAGAAAAGAGGAGGGAAGGGGGGGGAAAGAAAGAGGAAAAGCAAAAAGAGAAAAGAGAAGAAAAGAAAAAAAGAAAAGAAGGGGAAAAAATAAGGAAAAAAAGTAAAAAAAAAAAAAAAAAAAAAAAGTTTAGAAAAAAAAAAAAAAAAGGAGAAAGGAATGAGGAAAAAAAAAGAAAAAAAAAAGAGAAAAAAAAGAGTGAGGGGAGGAAAAGGAAAAGAGAAAGAGGAAAAAGAGTAGGGGAGAAGAGAAAAAAAAGGGAAGAAAAAAAAAAAAGAAAAAGAAAAAAAAGGGGAAAGGGAGAAAGGGAAGAAAAGAAGGAAAAGAGAGGCGGGGAAAAACGGATGGGGGAGTGAAGAAAAAGAAGGGACAAAAGGGTAGATGGAGAAGAAGGGAGAGGAAGTGAGGGAAGGTTAATAAAAAGAAAAGGGAAAGAGAAAAGGAGGAGGAGGGGGGATGAGTGAAGGGGGAGGAAAGTAAAAAAAAAAAGAAGGAGAAAGTGGTATAGGGAAAAAGGAAGGCAGGTAGATAGCAAAAAAAGAATGTTTTTTTTAAAACATGATTTAGGCCAAAAGCTTATATCCAAACTATCATTAATGTCTCAGGCATCAAGCAGCATATTTGTAACCATTTCCCATAACAGCTTTCTGTGATGCAGCTTTTAGAGGCATTAAATGCTTTGAACGTCTGGTTCTTATCACCACCACCGTGAGCACGTCTGGCTTCTCTACAGCAGATCATTTCACATCAAACCTCTCTGGATGACCTTGTTTACACTTTTACGACTGATTAATGCACACATTTTGAAAGGCTGCTTGGAATTCCCCTGTAAGAGTTCTTCATCTCAGTTTGTGATTTGAATCTAGGACAAGGCGGATCTTAGTGGCTGATATCTCCTGTCTTTTCATGGCTGGCTGGATGGATTTTAAACCATGCAGAATGAAGGCTTGTTAGTTGCGGAGTTTCCTGCCACACTCTTGCTAATCTCAAACTTTCTGGGACGTTGGATGATGTCAGCGCTTCAATTATAGGTCAATATTAAAGCTTCAGCAAGGCAGCTTTTTAACAACAAAAAAATATTAATTTAGGGTGGGGAAGGCCTGCGCTATTCTTCATTATTAAAAACACACCTTGGAGTCCTCCAACAAAAACTGTTGTGAAAAATTAACACAGTTTTGTCACCAGATTATATTTCTGAAATATGATTACACCATTTTCACCACCGTTTAATAATAATAAAAAAAAAACAGTTTTGTTTTTTTTTACTTGAGTGAATAGTCTGCAAACAGGATCTTCAGACATGAATCTGTTTTATGCCTCAGCTTAAAGATGATTCTTCAAGAATCAAGAATCAAGGTTCTATTTAGAACAATGAGTTATATGTAGATACATTTCATGCTTAAATAGTTCTTTGCACAATGAAATGGTTCTTCAGATTGATGGAGAATGTGTTACATATGGTTTTATATAGCATAAAAACGGTTCTATTGTTTCAAGCTTGACATCAAAAGAAGAACCCTTTTTGGTTCTACACAGAACCTTAAACGACACATTCTCCATCAATCTGCATAACCACTTCACCATGCAAATAACTATTTAAGCATGAAATGGATCTATATAGACCTCATGGTCCTAAATATGACGAATCCTTTTACTCAAAAAAATGGATGGTTCTTCAAGGGTTCAAGTGTGTCACGTTCTTGAATAAACTAAGTGTCAACTGGGCAATAAACAGCATCAGTGCTCACACAAACTTTGTTGCAGACTCTAAGTTTAGGACCCGAAAGTATTGCGGTTTTGAAAGGCTAAAACACCGTGAACGCTTATCGAATGTAAAGAAGCGATAACAAAGAAAAGCCGTTAAACCGTAAGGGCTACTGAACGTTACAGAACACGGTTAACGGACATCCTCGAACAGCAGCTCGTCTCCGCTCCGCTGACCGCGGTAAAGTTACCTTATCGGAGTCCAGCTCGGGGTCCGCTTGGCACAGGCGGTACAGGAAGGACTTGGGCTCCCGGCACAGGGTCTGCTTCGTGGTCAGGAAATGCGTGCCCCCCACGTTGAGACGCACCCACTTGGACGACCCCTCCGCGGCGGACCTGAGCGGGCAGCGCCGAGAGCCGTGGCCGGAGACGTCGCACTGACACTCGGCCATGTTCTCCTCCGTCTCCGTGTCCTAGCCGTTAGCTCTCCAGCTAAATCAACACCTGGCGCGGTCTGTTTTTTACATGAGGAAAAACGGAACGAATTAAGCGTCTCGAAGGTACTTTCAGATTCTTGTCGGAGTTTTTTTTTTTTACTAGAAACAGAAAAGATTTCAGTCTGCGTGAGGCTCCTTAACGCGGCCGGAGTGCATGTCTGTGCTCCGCCCGCTGGAGAACCCGAGCTGTCCGGATGGAGGCGCAGAGCGAGCGCGCTGAGCGATGAGAGCTGCAGTTCCAGTTGGGGTGGTGGGTTGTTCACTGGGATTTTCCGAGATGGCCCGCAAGGGGGCGCCAAATCCCGATTTCGAGTAAACTTTTAAAATGGGAGTGAATTTCTTTTAATTTTTTTTCCCTTGTATTTGCTTTATTTTCTTGTATTTAGAACTTTTATTGCAATGGTAATCACTGAGTGCCCCAAATAGCTCTCTATTGGACACAGCGCGCTACTTGGGTGTAGAATCCATGACATCGCGGCCCATGCACTGCACTACAGACAGTAATGGGAAAGTTGAGGTTCATTAAAAGGCCCATATCATGGAAAACTGACTTTTCTTTTCTTTTTTAAATAAGAGTTTGATGTAGTATGTAAACAAGTTTAAAAGTTTCAAAATGCACTGTTTACTCCCCAGTCCATATACAGAAACTAAAAACACAAAAACAGCCTGTGTTTGAATTAACTGTTTTCGTAATGTCACGGAAATCTATGGAGCCCCGCTGGTGACATCCTGTATAAATAAAAATAATGCATCACGACTTAGTAAGGCATGGGAATGAGATGATTAAGTTGTGGCCACGACTTAGTAAAGCGTGGGAACAAGATCCTAATGCGTGGCCACGACTTAGTAAGCCGTGATCTTGTTCCCACGCTTTACTAAGTCGTGGCCACGACTTAATCATCTCATTCCCACGCCTTACTAAGCCACGCATTATTTTTTATTTATACAGGATGTCACCAGCGGGGCTCCGTAGAAATCAATGCAGTTGCATATATCAGCTTATGCTGCATTCGGTTGCTCATCGCAAGGCTGTACATACCAGGCGGTTAACTAGCAAATACGACTTCACGTTTTTCATTCGTGTAAAAGGTGAACGGTTGCAAAACACGTCACATCTCATAAACGTGTGTATCATCTAGAAACCCGATTTTACCAATTGTTAATACAACTTTTCGGCCGTTTGAGCTCAATTTACAAGAAGGAAATTATTTCCCAGTTTCCAACAGCACTCCAACACAGCGTTATTCAGCTACACCTATAAGAAGTGTTTCAGCCCGGACTGCTTTTTCAGTGATACACACTGCAGCCAATCAGAATACAGATCATTTACATACACACTTATAAAATATGGTTCTTCAAAAAGAGGGTTCTCTAGTAAAGGCAATGGTTCTATGTGGAAGCATGAGTTCTACATAGCACCATCTCAAGCTTAAAAGCTTTCTTATTGTGCTACGGTGTCAAGCTTGTAACATTAGAAGAACTGTTTTTGGTGCTATGTAGAACCATGTACAACACATTCTCCATCCATCTGAAGAACCATTTCATCATGCAAAGAACCATTTAAGCATGAACACATGGTTCAATAATAGAACCATTACCTTTACTAAAGAAAATGACATGCTGATAATAGTCAATTGTAAATGAAAAAAGTTTTCATTGTATCTCTCCCACATGAAAAGACTAAAAAATAATTTATACCTACTCAAAAATATCACATAAAACTATAGCGCTAGACAGCGTATTCATAACTATTCCTTGTAATAATTTGTGAGGACTCTTTGAAGAGCATTAAACAATTCTGGTTCCCATCACCACTACTGTGAACAATTCTGACTTAAGTTCCTCTACAACAGAGCATTTCACATCAAACCACTCTGAATGACTTTGTTTACGTCTTAACCATTTAATCATGCAGACAGTTTACAAAAATGGAGGAATTGCCCTTTAATTGCTTTCATCACCTGTAAGAATTTCACTCCTGAGCTTAAAGCGAACCATGATGATAAGGCCTTAATGCTGATCCTAGCTCTGCTCACAATTTAGGCTGCTCCACAGTAACAGGAGATTCTCTACTGAAAATCCTAGTAAAAAGAACACAGGGCTAATGTGTCAGAGATAAGCATGATCAAGACCAATTCACGAGACAAACCTCCGAAGAAACAATGTCTGAATGTTACTGTGTAAGCTACATTATAACTGCTGACACCTGAATCACTCACAAACGTTGACTATGAAAGCAGAGGGCATGTTACTCTGTGGTTTTGGGACGGAAGCTAGTAAACCAGAAAAGAGTTTCAGTATAAAGACCCTGGAAAGAAACAGTGTGAAGTGGTAAATGCTGGTGAGAGAAGTGACACTTCGAGGTTTCTAAGAAAGTTAAAAAAAAAAACATGACTACATCCTCACCACTAACTGGACTTGCAGCTAAAAGCAGACCAGCATATTACTCAAAATTTACAACAGTTATAACCAAAAATAATAAAAAATCTTACAATATCGCATTATGTTGTGCATTTTTAGCAGAAGCAATGCCAGACAAGAGCCACATTTCAACGTGTTTCTTGCCCTTGTCCACCTCATCACACCTGTGTCGAACAAGTGGCTACTCGTGACAAAGAGCTAATCGGTTAGCCATGCTAACTTTCCACTGTACTTTTTTTTTTTTAACACATCATGTATAAAATTTATGCGTAATTGCTTAGTCCGGCCATAAAGTTGGTGTAGAACCAGTGAATTGCCTTTCTCTTTTTTGCTGTTAGCCTTGTAGCCTTTAGCATGTTAACTAGCCAGTTAGTAAAGTTGTACCACAGTAGTCATGTGTAACAGATAGTTTGAAACCGAAAGCCCAGCAAACAATGTTATGAATTTTAAATGTTAAGCATTTTAAGGTAGTTTATTGCTATGGCTTATAAACAGCTTTGTCTGCCATTATTTCTGGTTTGAAAAGGGAAGTATGTCATGCCACAATGATTTCTGGGGAAGTTCTGCTGCTGAAGAAGGGTTGGGTTCACTCAATCAGTCGAGCCACTGAGGGTTCATCTTTACTTGAGCTTACAAAGTAATGGAACATCTTTTAAGACAGCACTGAGAATAACCCCCAAGAGGAAATAAGGGACTGGATGAGGTTGTCAAAACCGATATTTAAATAGGTAGAAGGTCTATCAGCATAGGAGTGTAACAATAACCAAATATCACGATACGATACATATTGTCGTTTTTGCTTCAAGATGCCATAAATACAAAATAAATGATATCCATTATTTTTGTATTTATTTTATTTTGGGTAATTCCCTAAACGTTTTTTAAATGGGTCATTTTTGTGTTACTTGTTGAAGGGATAACTGGCACAAGTCATTTCCTTAGAACATATAAAATAAAGATTGTATACAAAAGTGAAATGTCTATATAAACGTAAACAAAAAAACAATAAGGCTACATCCCAATATTTAATAAACTGAGCATTATATTTATTTATAATCTGACCTTATGTTTCTATATAAAGGGAGGCTTTTACCTTCTGGCTGAAATGAGTAAGAGGGGATTTTCTTACGTGGCTCAGTCACTCGCAGCAAACTGCAGAACCCGTAACGCAATAGAGGTGGACTCTACAACCGAACAGAGGAGCAAAACGGTGGCTATTAACATCCCTACTGAGCTAATTATTTGTTTCGTTTATTCAGAATCAGCACTTAGCGGCTACTTGAATCCTATGGGGAGAAGCAGCTACTGAGACTCGTTTTCTGCACGAGGCTGAAGTTGGCTTCCTATTCACCAGATTCTTGAAATTTTCCTTTCCATCTTAAATGGGGCAGCAGTCACATGTAACTACTGCTCCATTTAAAGTGGAAAGATCTTTTTCTTTTTTTTTGCATTTTCTCCTTGCTCATGTGTCTGACACATTTGAGTGATGCCTTCACAAATGAGTTAGCATAATTGTGGTATTAGCATGATCCTCTGTCAGAGCCTTTGTCTATACATAGTCACCTTTCAGTCTACTATGTCCATCAAAATCGTGCTCAAATGAGAAACCTCTACATTTCAGACAGCTTGGCTAATCAACCATCCAAGGCAGGCTATCCAGTTCCGAGAGCTGCTCAGTGGAGGTTTTTTTTTGGGTTAACGGTTATAATTTTTGGGAATATACTGGACTGTGTTAAACAGAACTACAGAAACCATTCCAGGCATCATGCATTTTATAGCATAAAATTTAAATGAATGATTTTGACGTGCATATCGTCTCACGACCCTCCCTGTCACAAAAAAGGAATATTAACCTGCATATCATGACACCCCTATAAGTTACTATAGCTTCTAAGTTCTTATTTAGTACAATAAGCATGTGATTGGTTGAAAAAGGACAGGAGGCGTGGTTTCTGTCGGCCTAAACCCCTACATGCTTTATTTCAGTTCTAGGTGTTGTCAAGCTCTTGAGCTAGACAGGGAAAAATACACACAGCGCCCACACAAAGACAGACCCCCCACACACACATGCTCACTCACTCACATTCGCACGCACTTGCTCTCACACGCACATGTGCACAAGTGTGGGCGGGGTCCGTGAATGCAAAGGCTTTAAATTATCAGAATATGAGTCAATCACTGCGCAAATAGAAAATGTATATGATATAGTAAGAAAAAAAAGCTGTAAAATATCATAGTTTACAATAATTCTTCACATTCAAAGGCTTTACATTTCAAAACATACACAGCAAGGCCCTCGAACATGACTTCAATCCAAATATGATTTTCATATATTAGAATTTAAATAACACAGAAGTAGCTGGGCCTGAACAGAGTAGCCCCAATAACCTTATACAAGAATAAAAATACAAAACCCGGATCCAAGAGTCACCTCGCTCTACTCACCTCCAAGTTCAATATTACATCAACTATACATCACAGTCATCAGTTACCAACCAGGAAGAGGAGACACACACGCACGCACGCACGCAGAAACACACGTACACACATGCGCCCATCTCCTTCCTGTTAAAAACGGCCAAGTGAGAGAAGGAACCACACGCGCACGCACACTCCAGTCTATCTCAGACATCCAGCACACACCTGGTCATGTCTCCACTCAGAAACATACGTACAGTCATTATCCCATTGCAGACGATTTGAGAGGAAAAAAAAAAAAGAACTGAAAATCGCAAAGTTGCGCAATTGGCTCAGGGCCTGGGGTGATGCATTACCCTCTAGAACTACATTACCCATAGTTCTGCAGTGATTGCTGTGGTGTGGTGATGATTGGGATGGAGTTTCTTTCCTGTATGTTCAGAGTTTTGATTTGGAACACAAACGACTCAAGGAGCAGGACCTCCCCACCACAGAAATTCAACACCACATCCTCCATTCAGAATCAGCTAGACCAGCTACTGCGGCCAATGAGGGCAAAGGACCCGCCTTAACTCTAGATTCAGACCAATCAAACAGAGGGGACACACCCCTTACACTGAAATTCAGGTGAAGAGCAAGGTCGGGGGGAGCGAGAGCATGAGAAAGAGCATGAGAGCGAGAGAGAGAAAGAGAGAGAAAGAGAGAAAAAGAGAGAGAGAGCTGACTGTACAAGGGGTGTGCATGTTCTGTGATTGGTCAAAGGGCTGCTGGGGATGTGGCCGTAGGGGAGAGCTCCTATAGGCTGGGGCTCTGGTGTTTGTGGTAGATCTTCCTCCACACTTCTTGGATCTTCTTACACCATTTGTCAGCATTGCCACTCGGGTCCATCAGATAGTAGGTCCGGTTTGGCTGCAAGGGAGAATTTCAAAAGTGCCATGATTACAAATTCCTCTGAAAGTCTAATTAAAAACATGCCTGACACAAACTGACAGCCTGCAAAATAATGATTAACACGACTGACAGATGACCACAACTGTCCTCTCAGCACTACTTCCTCCATCAAGCGCTGTATAGTGGATTCTATAGTGGTCACATTTGCTATTTAAAAAATAAATGAATAAATAAAATAGGTTCAAGCGCATTCAAGATAAATACTAATGTACTTACATGCATGCAATCATTTGTATTTTTTCATTAAAGTTGCTAAATGTGCTTGTGAACAAGACGATGTCTTCTCTTCAGTATATAATGTTATACCAACTAGCTGTAGCATTAGTTCATCTCAATCTTTGAGCTGACAGTGAATTGATTCAATTCATGAATGAATGGTTTCCAATTCAATTCGTAAGTATTTTTTTGTAAATTAAATTGAACACTAAGCTTAAACACTAAACTTTGATTGGACTTGATGGTTCAACAGCTTTTGCAAACTTCACTCCTTTCTATATGTATCACCATTCTGTGGAATCCACAATAGGCTAAAGTTGGATAAGATCACATATATTTGTTTAAACAAGTTTGTTTTGTTAATAAATTGTGCTTCGTAGCATTTAAAATCCAATCAAATTTTTGACCAATGCAAACAATTTTTTTCCTCCTATTATGATCAATGCTGCATCAGGAGGAAATCTAAACAATGCATTGTGAAAATGAATGAATCATTACGCCACTACTCCTAACTGACATGAAAACCTGTCGCTCTAATGTCAAGCTGCTAAATTTCTCTGGTTTGACTAATACCAACATGGTTTGATCCATGTTTACTTTAAATTGGGATACATTCATATTTACTGTCAGTTCTTAAACATTTATGACTAACCTCGCAAAGCTAGTTTATATGTGAATAATACAATGCCTTGAAAAGTACTTTTCTTTGAGCTTCTATATTTTCCTATTGAGCTACTGAACTTTTTAGTATGCTAGCACAAGTGCTATGAGTGCTAGCAGGTGGTCTGAGCTGAAAGTTGGATGGACATAGCAACAGTAAGTAAGGAAGGTAGGTAGGTCAGAATCTTGCAAACTATCTGGCATCTGTGACAGGTCAGTATGTGTTGAGTGACACGTGTACTTACTGTGTGGACAAAGAACGTTTTGAAGTTCTTGGCTTCGGGTCGAAGTTCTGGGGACCAGGGGATCTCTCCCTTCAGAACCTTATTCACCGGGTCCACATAGTACAGATGAGGGCCTTCGGTCAGTAGCAGCTGCCTACGCCGTGCAAACAGACCCTACAAAAATACAGGTGTGAAACAAATCCATCAGCAAAAATGCACAAAATGAAAAACTGCACATACTAAAATAAAAACTTTTTTTTTTTAAATCTCCTTTTCTGCACTTCCACTCACTGATTACTTGAGCTCCACCTACCTTATAGCTCCACTACATATGTGAACACTTACAGACAGTAGCCCATCTGTTGTAAGTGCACAATTCGCCAGCTGCCCTCTACCCCATTCATAAAGATATTATTAAGGTGGTAGATCATTCACAACACAGCAGCAACACTGACAGTTTATTTTATTTTATTATTAATAGCAGTCGAGTCGATTCAGACTCCTGGTGATAATATAGATGATGTTCCTCCAGAATATCCTGTTTTCTGTTTGGGTCCTTATGCTTAATGGCTTTTTTAATGATTCCTCTGATTGTCTCTGTCTGTCCTCTTTTGCCTTCAACTGTTCCAAGTGCAGTTGTCCTTTCCAGTTGATTCTTCCCAAAATAAAATCTTTGGAGCTTCAGTCAAGGTTCCACCTGTTTGTTTACTTAGCCGCCAAAGATATTCCACAACAAGTACAAGACATCAATATTTCTCCTGTCACACTTTTTTGTCCAGCTTTCACATCCATAAAGAAAAGACAATTCTGACAAAACTGACATGCTAGTGGTATGATAGTCTGTGTAGTGCTGGTATGAGTATATCAGACACAGCGGTTTTGCTGAAGTTTTCACATAGGTCAGTGTCACTGCTAAGTTTAGAGAAGATAACCACCCTAAAGTATCCAGCCAAAAGCGGTTCTGTGGCGAGAAACTAACCACTGATACAGAACTATAGGATGTTTAACATAAACTGTACATGAACAGATTACAGTCTCGGTACACAGTACACGAGCAAGATGAATTCAAAAAACAGCTTCTAATTAAGTGACCAGTGAGTGTACGAATTCATATAAAGTAATCAAAACACACAGCAACTTACTTTACGCTTGTCAACTGGGCCCATCTTATAGATGAGGTTATTCTCGACAAACTGGTGCCTGTAAAACAAAATGTACCTCACAACATATACAGAAATAAAAAAGGGCTGTATTTTTTGGGGCATCTTAAAAGTATTTTAGCCACATACAAGCGCTTGAAGAGACTGTATGTTCCTTCCAAATTGCACACTTTATAAATGTAGGTGCGGTGTAAGCGTGCATAATTTCAAGTCAAATAATTTCAATGCCATAGTGCTTGTGTACACACCAAGGGTTTGCAGCACTTTGTTTGTCCAGCAGGAGGCGCTTTTCCTCTTCGCTGAATTGCAGGTCAAGCTCCATGCTGTTACTGTCCAACTCATGAATATGGATAAACTGATCCACGCTGGGGGCGGGGTTACATACAGGAAGAACGCTCTCCGAAGACTCATCCACTGAGGGTGCGGGGCCAGGCTGGGCCACTTGCATGCAGCTGAACTGGCTTAAGAGGTCATCATACTGTATGAGTAAGGAGGACAGAGAAAGAATCAAATTAATGACTACATAACAAATAACATTAACTAACTCGCTGTTTTTGTACAGTACATATTTTAAAGTATTCTATGAGTCCTGTAATCCCTGACATTGCGGATAGAATATATAAAAAAAAAAATAATAATAAAAAGTGCTGATTTTTACTAATATAAAAGCATAGATTCCTTATAAGAAAGCTGAGAGTAAAAGCGGCAGGAAAAAAATCATGGAAAAGCATAAAAGAAACGCAAAGGAACCAACATTCCAAAAAGGAAAATAATACTCCTTTGGGCTGTACTGGATGGTAGAACTGGACTTAAGGGCTGGCCCAATAAGAGCTTTGTAGGCTTTAAATACTCTGATATTTCTGAACTAGTACTCAAATTCTCTTTCTCAGAATCACCATTAAAAACTATTTTTGCAGCGGTTTTCGGACATTCATCTGACAGAACAGATATGCTTCCATTTTAATTAGTGTTTCAGTTCACACCAGCTGAACTAGATGTATAACCCCATTTCCAAAAAAGTTGGGATGCTGTGCAGAATGTAAATAAAAATAGAATGCAATGATATGCCAATCATGTAAACCATATTTTAAAAGGAAAATACTACAAAGACAACGTATCAAATGTTGAAACTGAGGAACTTCATTGTTTTTTGAAAAACATATGCCCAATTTTGAATTTTAAGCCAACAACAATGAAAAAAATAAATAAATAAATAAAAAAGACAAGGCTTCAGAATACTAAATAGAGAAAACAATACCAATGTAACACATACTCAAGCAGAATTTCAATATGAATTTAAGCAGAGTTAGCATAGGTTCAGTTGAGGTATAAAAGACAGTCACAGTATTCTATGCAATGGTGTGCTGAATGTAAATGTGTACACATGAACACTCACGTTCCCATAGCAGTCCTCATCGTCCTCGGACATGGCAGGCAGGTAGGGGGTGAGCTTGGGCGGGGTTTGCAGATGCAAGTCATCCCAGCTTATTGACTCAAAGAAAGGGTGGGATTTCAGCGGCTCATATCCGCCCATCTCCTCACAGCCAATCCGCTTGCAAGGATCCAATAACTGCACCATTTTCATTAAGACATAACAGTTAGAAACTCTTGCAAAGTGTGAATAACTGTTTTATGAAGGAAATATTGTATGTACACACACATATACACAGACGTTTCCATCTACATAGTATTTTAAGAATTTATCTGTAATTTAAGGACGATGGAGAGAATTCCTTAAAAATGCTGAACGTACAATAATCCTTTATGAGCACTTTCTTGGAAAGGACAGCTTCACAAACAGTCGATGCTGTCAACATCTAAGCTAAACTGCTCTTTGACAAACTGAAGATTCAGAACAAATGGTGCACAGCATAAATACTATCACGAGTTTCATTTTTCTCTCAAATACTACAAATATCCACCAAGATCTGAAAACACATGGTCTTTTAAATTCATGCACAATATCTTTGTAAAGTATTTGGTGCAACATGCATAGGTTTTAGCTAGTCTGATCTATTGATAGCCTCATTTAGCTAATTACTGAGGTTCAACTTACTGTGTGGTTGGTTCTGATGTGAAACCAAATGGCATAGAAGGTATGAAAGAACAAACATGCAAGCAAACAAATAAAAGAAGCACATGCTCACCAGAAGTTGTTCCACTAGATTCTTGGCTTTGGGGAAGAACTTCTCAGGAAACTCGTACTCTAATTTAATAATCTTCTGGAATATTAGATACTCATTTCTGTGAGAGTGGTAGATGGAGAGACAAGGAGAGAGACAGAGAAAGAGCATCTCCACGTTTTATATATATATAATATATATATATATATATATATATATATATTACACTCACTACACTGATTGCTGGTGGAGCGTTAAGGAAACATACGCACCCTGCTCTGAATGGTGGTAATCCGGCAACCAGCTGGTAAATAATGCAGCCTAACGCCCAAAGATCAGAACTGTCCAAAAAAAAAAAAACATCGTCAGAAGAACTATTGTCTTTATCTGTATGAAAGCACAGTCACCTGTACATTTATAAACTAGGCCGTACTGTAATCAGCAAAAACATGAACACGTTTTACCTCTTACAGGCAGATTTCTCAGTCAGTAACTCTGGGGAGACGTACTGAGCCGTACCAACAAACGAGTTTGCTCGAGCTGTGGACAGAAATATCACCATCTGAATATCTACTAGTTACAGGCCTATTCAAAACTTCTAGGGTTTGATGCTCTGTCATCAGCTCGGTGCTAATGCTGCTAATAGGAATATTCAGCCAATTGTACAAGACGTAGTCTCAGTGCTGCTGACCAGAGGTGTCAAAAGGTCATCAGTTTGCACATAGGAGCTAGCCCAAGTCTTTTATTTCATTCTGAATCGTAGTCCAAAGCCAGTGAGCCCAAATATTGAATTAGGCATAAAGATGAAAGAAAGTATTAGAAACCCTCATTTACCTTAATATACAATATTATCTGAATATGAACATGTTACTGTAACAGAGACTTCAAAAATGATCCTGAAAAACCTGGTAATAAGCAAAACAAAGAAAACTTTCAGCAGTAGGTTTTCGCGTCGGATGAAGAGAATGATTCAGAGTAACACTAGACTACTCCATCAGATGAGCCGAAACTAGCGCTAATGATGGAACTGTATTCTTTCACAAAAGATGTTTTAGCAAACCTCAATGCAAAGAGCAGAATGCATAAGTACGTTAATAATAAACTCGGCATAGAATTTTTTAAATTGCAAATGTGATCAAACTTGTCACAATGTACAGTGTCATGGTGCCCCGTACCCTGTGTAACTCTAAACTTAACTCATTTGTTAAAAAAAAAAAAAAATGAAAGGCTCAGACACATTATAATGATGATAACTTTCAAGTCTAATCAAGTCACACACCAGAATAACAGAACAACACAATAGCTTCACAACTTCATATGGGAATACAAACTATACAAAACTGTTTAAATAGATCAAAATACTGCCAAATCAGCAACACATCACACATTGTCTGATAACAATATCAATACCTTGACTGTAACACGTATTCCTGAATTTCTTTTTAAACTACAAACTCAAAGTGGGTGTGGCTTAAATCAGAAATGAGTGGAAGGTGCTGGAAGAAGGTATATTTACTGATGGCAATGGATTGCAGACTAATCAAGCACTGATGTTAATGACGTGCATGTGGAATGTAATTCAGATCCAGCCTATCAACAGTCTCGGTTTTGAAAGAAGCATGGCTCACTGATGCTAATAAGACTGATTGCTTAGGTATTAAAATTTGGTACTAATTGGCACAGAATTTTTGATACTCTGTAGCATTGTATTATTGCAAGTAATTTGGTTCCATAAAATTACTGATTTTTGAAATTCAGACTTAATCACTATAAGGCTTAGGCCTATTGTATTATTTATTTTGAAAACATATTCTAACTGCATCACTAAAACATCTGACCACTAACAAGATCCCATCTTGTTTTGCAAAGTGTTGCATATGTAAAAACTCACATGAAGAGAGCTGGCATTCTGAAAGGTAAGCATTTGCTGTGCC